TTTGTCTATCTGCCGAATACTTATGTGCCTATTAATTTTGCTGCGAGCCTAATAAGAACTTACAAAATATCTTACCGTTGCCGCAACGCAAATTTGAACTCTTCCATCTCTAGTGAACGTTATATACCCCAAATACACAGGTAGATAGCCGAAAACAGGTAAAAACAAATTAAGCGCACGGCTCACAATGAAAGGTCAACCATTTCGCATCAATGCCAAAACCACTAATCTAATATTAGTTAGTTGTTATTTGTTGCTGGAACGCTAGTTACAGATGCTTAGACAGCGTGTGATAAAAATTTGTATAATCGCATAAAATTTCTCGAATATTTATGAGCATAGGTGAGTATAATTATTCATACAAGTATCTATTCATACCTACAAGTATGTATGTTGCCTAACTAGTGAGAGTAAGACGCATAAATCATTTTAAGTTGATACATTTTCTCAATAGCCAAAATTATTACCAATATATTTCATTTACACACTTATTCATTCACTCATTCAAAAGATTTAATTGGCTATCCACTATAGTTTGGTGACCGTTTTAGGCTAATTTGTCGACGAGATGGAATTGTAGAAAATGTACTACTTGTAAGAATGTTAAAAATGTTACATAATTTTTAAATATTTACAACGTTAGATACTGTATTCTTTGATGTTTACTTAAGAGCGACTTAATAAGATTCAGAAACAACTGTTCCTATATACACATAAGCACTGTGGCAATGCTTATGTAATAACATTATGTACAAATATATATTAATGAATTTATGCGCTAGGTGAAATAAGAATTGAAGGTTCTAATTTGTTAATGCCGACTGTTATGACAAAATTAAGTGCTATTAACATTGTTCTCTTTGATGAGATATTCATTTAAACAAGCAAAGTTTAAACTCTATAAATATATTGTATATGTATGTAAAACTTATTCATATTTATACCGGGATTCTTTTCATATTGACAATGTGTGTCTCAACAAATAAACTCCCTTTCATACTAGAATTCAGCATGCCTTAGCTCAATGTTTTCTGCTGAAACTTTATCTGAGAATACTGTTAGCTTTTCATAGCGCAACAAGCCTCGGTCTATTAAAAGCCAGTAGACTACAATATGCAACGATTCTCGAAAATTGTTTTCTCCTCTGGATAATTTTAACAATGCGTGCGTTTCAAAAGCAAGCACTCAGATAATAAACTGTGCTAAAACAACATCTGCTTTCAAGTACATACCACACATACATACATAGAAATCGTAAAACGCTTAGATCTGCTACAATTGCTATTGCTCAACTCACGTCCATCCACGCTGGTACCAAATTATTATTTTGTTTAGCCACTATTCATTTTCTTTCGAGCCACTCGAACGACCGCCCTGCCAGTGCCACCGGGAACAATATAACGTTTCTCATTGTTAGATTTGCATATATGTACGAACATACATACACACAAGCATGCACGACTATAGATTTGCTATTACTATTCTTACTATTATTTTCATTTATGTTTCAAGCTTTGCTAGTGTGTGTGTGTATGTACAGCTATTTGTGTCTATTCTACAAATAAGCAACTACAATATGTTTAGTGCGAGTGAGTATTTCAGTTTTTTAAAGCGTGTTTACAAAACCTTGAGCAGTGAAACATAAGTTAACTGTATTTTAGTTGACATTGTGGAAAAGCACGTAACGATAAACAGTCTAGGCGCTCTAAAGAGTCAAGTCGAGTCTAGCTAGCTAGCACATTTGTATCGTATATATATATATACACACACACACACACAAGGCAGCGTGTTTGCACAGAGAGATCATAGAAATTAGATGACTGTAAGAAACGGGATTTGACCGAGATTCCAAAAAAGTTCCCAAATAATGCTCAAAATGACGACCTGTCCAATATATCCGGAACAGACCTAGATGGTATTAGAATACAAACTCATCACCCCTTCTTCGTGCACCTTGTTATCGCGTTCTGAAATAGTATCTCTCGTAAATAATTCTCTATTTAAAGTTTATATGCTTTTTTATGTTATTTCTTTTTATTACAGTAAAATCCAGTTCTGAAATTGTTGTTGCGGTTTATATCAGTTGTTATTAGTGTTGTTAGTGCCACTAGTCTCGTTTGTTTGTCGCATTCACTGCTTTGGAATACGAGGCGTAACAAGTGCACTAGTCAATGTCTAGGTCATCGCATAGAATACACACACACGCACACATATATACATGCGCCCGTATTTACGAGCGCTCATGTACATAAATATGACAATGAGTATATGAAAATGCATAGAATTTTAGATTGCTTTGCTTAGGCGTGAATGTGCGCATGTGAGCTTGGCTGAATGTGTGTGCCAGAGTAAGTGACAGTTATGAAAGTGATCTGGTGAGTTCACTTTTTCAATTTTAATTCAATACAGTTAGCTAAGACCGAAAGAAAGTGAGGGAAATTGATTACATGTTTGGCCACACTATTAATAGCAATGCTTTCGGCAAACTCCCTTTCAGGTGGGTGTGTAAAAGCCAGATTATCCAGATATCAATAAAGTGATTGTTAATTCATCTAAAATATGTATGTTGTAAGAGTTGGTGTTCACAAAATATATTTGATTGTTTTGAAGATTTGCGCTCATAAATCAAAAGCCAAACCCTGTACAGCTATTTTTACTAAATGGCATGGATTATTGTCCAATACAATCGAAGTTAGAGTTCTTTTTTTTGAATTGAAATTGTTGTTTTTGTCAATATTGGTAAGAACAAATGCGAAGCTTATTTAACATTTCTTCCAGTTGGCAACCCTCTGGGTTATGCACTCATTTTTGCCACGATTCAGCATTAAAATATTTCACCTTATTTTTGTTCAAACTGTCTTCAAGTGGGTCAATATACGATATTAACAAAATAAAAAATATGCGAATCCGAAACACAAAAAATCAAATTGCATATTGGGTACTTTTGATTTTGGGGTCAGCAAGCATATATTGGTATTGTACAGGGTGGCGCACTTATTTTTTTTTTTTTATTTGGCAACTTATTATTTAAATTTTTTAAAAATTAATATTTGGGATACCGAAAAGAGGGTTTGGATAGAGTGCAGTACCATGCTTTGCAGTTCGTCATTTCCGTTCAAAGGGAATTTAGGCGGGATTTTGGCGGTACTCCCCTGAGTAGTTGGACCATTATGAGGTTGATAAACATGTTAGCCTAATTTGGAAGTATCGTGAAAAGACCGTAACATCGAGATCCGTATGTTGGTGTTCAAGAAACAATCGCGGGAGGCAAATCCAACAGTTTCGACTCGCAACTTGGAGTTAACAGACGGTCATTACAACGGGTAATTCATGATGACTTAAACCTGTTTCCATACAAAATTCAAATAACAAGAAGGTTAAACCCTATAGATTTACCTATTCGCCTATAATTTTGCCAAAAAATAATTGAAATGTCCGAAGAACGCAATAACTTGATAAATTGCCTGTTTTTGTCTGCTGAATCCCATTTGGATCTTAACGAAAATGTAAACAAGCTAAATTGCCATATATGAAGCGAATCAAATCCAGAAATAATTCACGAGACGGAACTTCATCCTCAACGAGTCATTGTGTGGTGCGCAGGTTCATCAAGATGTATTGTCGGTCCATACTTCTTTGAAGAAAACGGTGAAACAGTAACTATCAATGGGCACCGTTATTGAATGGCTTTTTTTGCCCAGAACTGCGCCGAAGACATATCCGTTTCAATAGTGATTGGTTGCAGCGATATGTAGCAACTGCACACATAGTCAGACCGGTTATTGCGGAGCTCCTACGAAAATTTTGAAACAAATTAACTTTCCGCTGGCTTCCAAGATTACCTGACCTGACTTCACCACACTTTTTTATGGGATTATATCAAGCAAGAGGTGTACAAAACAAAACCCAGAAATCTGACTGAATTGAAGCAGTCCATTAAATCAATAATTGAGGCAATCCCGACTTCAACCCTTCAGGCCGCAATGAATAATTTTCAAAATAGGTAATTAATAACATAATTTTTAAAACTAATTAATTATATAAAATAAAATTTGCTATACAATAAAAAACATATGGTAAATGTAATGCATTGATTAAAAAACGTTTAATACAGTTTATTTTTGTAGCACAGTTCGTGTATATAATCTTTTTTTAATTATCGTGTGAGCTTTATAAATTAAATTTAAATTTATAAATAAAATAAGATAAGAAAAGGAACGTTAACTTCGGGTGAACCAAAGCTAGAATACTCTTCAAAAACAAAAAATTTACCATACAAGAACTTAACTTTGATTGTTCGGAGATTGTGCCGTTGCCTTGCATTATATTCTATGCCAAATTCTGTAAAGATAACTTGTCAAATATATATCCTATAGAGATCCAATATCGGCGATTTCGACAAATGAGCAACTTCTTGAGTAGAAAAGAACGTGTGCAAAATTTCTGATCGATATCTCAAAAACTGAAAATATAGTTCGCTACAGGCAGACGGTCACGGATAAATCGACTCAGATCGGAATGAAATGTTTCTCGAGATCAGGGAGGTAGGTTTGCTGAACATAACCCGGAACATTTTGTGATTACTGAAAATAATTAGTCATACTTAAAGCGTTGGAATGCATTTTCTACTCATTATTATGTAATAATTAAAAAGAATAAAGAAGAATGGTCTACAATTTTTTAGAGATTATACCAAGACATATCCATATAAACTATTATAACGGCAATTGCAAGGAAACATCCTCTAATCTTGCAAATAGTAAAAGAACTTTAAAATTCCGTCTACCCATTTTAACTAACGTCGCTCCTTAATTAAAAGTTATTAACAGTTAACTAAAAAGTAAGTGAGCTTCTCTTAAAAAAACTAGGACCTGTTGTCCTTCATTTCAAACGAATATATCTATATAAGTATGTACATAAGAGATATTTCGAGATAATGGATAATAATATCTTTCGGAATTTTCATGGATGTGGGAATCATGTGTATTAAGTGTACTAACCTTTTGAGAAATTAAAGATTCACTCCTTTAGCTGAGCTATTATCCTCAATATAAGCAAATACCAGCAAATGATAATGCGAAGGGTCGAAATAATTCTTTTGTATTTTTTCTTTTTCAATTACATTACGTATTAGTTTTCTACACTTTCATATTATGTCATGTGCATTATTTATCCATTGCACACTTTCTGTTGTCGATTCGTGAACATTTATGTATTTGTTTGATAACAACAACAGTATGGACAGCGGTCGGAGAGATCTCACAGGAGGAGAGGCAGTTAAAGCGGCTCAGCGTCGAAAACAGAGCAATTTCAGCATATGCATATAAGTATGTATGTATATGCAATCGCAAATGTAAATATGTACCGTAGCTCAGTGTGACGAATGCAACGACAACAGTAAAAAGCCCAGTAATAATACGGCAGTGACAGTCGCTTCGGTTGCTTGTAGCTAGTGTCTCCGGCACTGGCAGTGGCGGTGGCAGTGACGTAAGGAGACGCCGGAGGTCGTACTCTGCTACTCTCGCAACGTTTAAACAGCAGCACACTCTGTCGTTGACCCCGTGCGATGCGATGTGATGTGATGTATTGATATCGCATGGAATAGTAGGTTTATTGCCCTTGGGGTAGACGATATTCGTACGAGTCGAATTCATTCACGTTATATACATAAGTATTTATGAACACACGCTTTAGCGACTGATGAGTATGCCCGCGCAGTTGTACACATTTTTTTTTTATAAAAAACAATACATTTTAATAAACACAAATTCACTAGTAATAATTTTTTTGACTTCTTGTCGATTTATGTGTAATTATTAATTTTTTAGCTTAAGTTATTTGTAGTCACGTTGTTATTGCTATTATTATCATATTGTACATTTGATTGCCCGAATTTCCTTAAATTCTCTGGGTTTTCACATATTCCGAAATTTTGATCAATTTAGGCGCACGAATGTAATTTATTATTGTAATTGTTGGTATTATCTGCTTTGCATTAATGCTAAAATGAAATGAAATGTACACTCATTCAAATATAAAAATCACACAAATGCATGTATGTATGTACATATTTGCATTTGTATATATGTATGTGTATGTATGTACATGTGTATGTTGCGGCTATAGATTATAAAAAGCTCGACTAGAGGTAAACGGCAAATGCATTTCACGCTTCCTCTTGCATTGGCCGTGGCATTCACAGAAAACTTAGCGACTCAGGCGGCGGCGACGGCGGCAACGCTTTCGAGCACTGCTCAGGGACTCGTACGCTCGCGTACAACTGCATCGACGTCGACGTTGATGGCCAACAAAAACAATGAAATATGTATTCGTTTATTATAAAGCAAAATCCATGTGTTACGCGCTTCCAATTGTTGTTGTTGTTAATGTTGTTTCTGTAGTTGATACTGATTGCAAATAATAATGGCGATGATTATGATTACGTAGATGATGAAGTTGATCGTGCAGCCAAGCAGCCGACTGACTGATCGCTTAAAGTCTTTAGCAGTGCTCACTAAATGCAATTGGCGCAGTTACTGTTGCAGCGGGTGTTTTGCGGCAGAGAGTTTGCTGCGCGCTGCTGGCAGACTGACTGGATGGTGGGTGTCAGTGACACCTTCGCGTAAGCAATAATATTGCCAAAAGTTCAAAATTCGACGTTACGAAGTCTTTTTGTTGTAATTGGTAAAAAAATAAATTACGAAAATTTCCGCGAAATTTCACAACATAGATTTTTCGCTTCTTTTTAACAGCTGAGGTTTTTAATGACTCAAAACGTTTTCTAATTTAATAATGGGAAACGCTTTTTTCATTGAACAAAATTGTTGTGTCTTAATTTTGCTATGAATATATGTATGTTTCTAAAAGAAACACCGAATATTCAAGTTGGAGTTGATTGCAATCAATTCACACTTGCAGGTTTCAATAATACACACTTCAAAATTTCGGCTTTACTTTCAATATTTACACACACTACTTTCATTATTAATGCTAACCTTTAATTTTTTATTTTTTTACCTTTTGAAAGTATGCGTTACAGGAAGGCACCACTTTTGTCATTTGTGCATCAGCAAAAATGTTATTTGTTTACATATCCATATATATACATGCGTATGTATGTATTTCATAATTTTCTAGTTAGAACTTTATTGCTGACTCGTTATGAGAGTAACAGAAAGTATTTGATCACGAGCAGCTCAAAATAATATTCCACATCGCGGGTAACATCTATGGTGACGACACCAACACGCCATTGGGTCCAATAAATGGAGACGCGATTAGTGGTAGGTCGGTATCATCGTAAAATTTGAATTGTATTTCCGCGCGACTTTTTTTATTTGTTTAACTGCTACCGAATAAGCAATTTAAAATGCGAAACCGAAAAACGAAAACGATGCGGAACAGGCGAGCGAATACGCGATGCGAAAAAGTAAAAATGTGTCGGAAAACTCGCAAATATCCGGCCGCTAACACACACCCGCTGAACGAATTAATCAACGGTTATTTGCAACAACCGTCTTTTGTCGCAGTCATAATAAGACTAACATCTCACAGAGACTCAGTACAAATTGTCTGCGATTCGCGCGCTTCGCGAAACCTATAAACAACTGCGGCCGTAACAGGCCGATGCAATAGCAGCCACAGCAGTGGCGATAACTCGTGAGCGAATCTACAGACAATCAACTCAGTGTTGCAGTTTGCACTTTGGGCTGTATGTGTTACTGTAAGTATGTATGTATGTACGTATAAATTTTTAACAGAATGCCTATGCTCCCAGTGTGGCAATTTTTGCGAGCGTTCCGCAGAGCGTAGTGCTCTTCGGCAGAGTCAGTCGAGTAGTAAACGTTGTCGTGTACGCATACACAATCGAGCTTCAAGTTCATCCACTGAACTTCAAAGCTTTGCTGCCAAGCAACCATATCTATAGCGCTGTGTAGTTACTCGGCGTACACCGTCATCGACGCCACCTTCAGGTTCAAAAACATTGCGGCTCGAGCTATGCATGTCTGTTTTCATTTACTACACGCTGCACTGAAATACATGTTTATTCTCTCTCTTTCTCTATTTCTCTATATCTCTCGCTTCATGTGGAAGAGCTTATACTTGAAGTACTCAAGTGAATCAGTAACAAATGTTGAGTTCCGGAGCACTTCTAGTTCCTCGTAATTTTGAAATAATGTGCCTTTTCAATGCCAAAGCAATAATACCAATTCGGAAGTTCCAGTCTTTCTCCACGAACATTGATGGTGTTAAGTTATTTAAAATTTTTGATTTTGTCTTGACCGAAGTTTGAACTCACATTTTAACGTAATCAATTCAGTATTCTGGCTATACAAAATTTTGACCTTACCTTTATGCATTATCCATATCCAATGAGGAACAAAAAGTTGCTAAACAAAAATAAAATAATGCTAAATAATTAAACAAATATCATAAAAATAAATTTTTTTATTTTAATGAAAGAAATTCTCCGATTTTTTTTATAAAAATGAACCCGCAGAACTTTATACAACAAATTTAATTACATACAAATAAAAAGACCTAGGTTCGGGAGCATTGAACATTAAATAATCTCGAACCTTGGAATTTAAGGGTCCTTATTAGATGACATAGCGAATCGAAATCGATCATATTAATGCAAAGGTAAGGTATTATTATCTTTTAATACTGAATGACATAACGCTAATGGAAATATTATCGTTCAATTTCATTGAGATATCTTGCGCTAATACTGATACATGGGAAGATAGGGTAGAGCGAACGAGCTAATGGCCTTACTAAACCCAATAAACCAAAGGGGCGGGGTTCGTATTTGCGGGTTTGGAGAACGTATGGATTTTTAGCACTATATTATGGAAGTGGCACCATATTATGGAAGTACTATATGACCGACACTTATTGTATAAAATCAGCTATATGCCTTGAGGATCTCATTTTCGGCATTCGGACCTTGGAAATATATGCCCCTTTCCCGATCATTTTTGTTTGCTACACCTAGAAAGCACTATTTTTGCAAAGTTTTATTCCTTATCTTTAAAGATAAACGATTTATCTAGTAGTCGTGATTGTAGTTCAATTTGCTCATTTTGATGGCCCGGATGAGCGAACGAAGGAGCTATTGGAAAAAAGTGTGGCCTCTTATCACAAGTGGTGGTTTGGCTCTTCAAAACCGTTGTCAAGTCAGTAATGTCTTATGGTATACTTGTTTGACGGAGGACGAACATATCTGCGAGGGATATGTGAATGGAGCAGAGTCACTAGAGGTGAAGTAGTGATCACCATCCAGCTTTTTCACGGATGTATTGATGGTCAGGGAGAAGGTTGGAGGTGGAGTCTTAAGTCGCAAGCTATATGTACATCAACTCTTGATACAGACTACCAAACCAGTGCAGTTTCTTTCAAGCAGAGATGATTGTCATCAAAGTAGCAGTAGATTTACTGTTCCGAAGTGCTGATTATTTCAATGAGAAAGGCCGATGAGCTCACAAGAAAGCGCACTCTTACCCAAACCCCATCAGGCTTATCATCTTGCCTTCTGACACTGGATCTGTAAAACAAACGCGAACTCAGCAAGCGTCGATCAGCAACCAGCACCTATGAGGGTAATTTCGTGAAGATAACTCGGCAAATGAAAGAGTTTTCCATATAAGCACATATGCTATAGTCAATCGACCGATCTAAACAATTTCTTCGGAGATTACATTGTTGCTTAGAAAATAACTCATGCCAAATTTCGTGAAGATATTGCGTCAAATAAAAAATGTTTTGTTCAGTTTGTTTGGCAGCTATATGCTATAGTAGTCCGATATCGGCCGTTCCGGCAAATGAGCAGCTTCTTAGTGAGGAAAGGACAGGAGCAAAATTTCAGATCGATAGCTTAAAAACTGAGAGACTAGTTTGTATATATACAGACATACGGACAGACAGACGGACTTGGCTAAATCAAATCAGCTCATCACACTGAATATTTATGTATACCTTTTTTAGGTTCTCCGACGTTTTACAAACGGTGTTACAAACTTCGTGGCAAACTTAGGGTATATTCAGAGTATAAAAATGAAAAGCAATGGCGTTTTTAATGTTACAACGTGAGTCTAATAGATCAAATATGCAGGAAGAAGAATTGAAATCATGACATATGCGTTAAAATAGTTCGTATAGATCAAAATTTGCTCTGGATGGGTCTAAAGTATATCAGCACACGAGCCGATATACTATATATTTAACTTACCGTCAGCGAAATTTATATTAAAAGCACCTTCAAATGAGATATATGTATTTGATTTTAACTCCACCAAAGAGGCTATATTAAATATATTGATGTGATAAGATATGAAGTTTAGACCAATTCTAGTCTAATTCAGCGCTAAACCACATACCTTTTAAGAAAACTTGTCTATTTAATTTCATTAAAATATCACACGTTTTGTACAACCTGAACGGTTTAAATATAGGTAGAAAGGCGGAAATAATTTTTTAAGGTATATTGGGGATAGAAAAATGGACTTCAATAATATTGAACATATTTTGAAGAAATTGTATACCATTATAAGTAGTATATGGGATATAAGTAGTATGTGGTTGCCAATACTACATAACACTAACATGCCACAGACTAATAAAATGCTCCCAGCGTTTTATTAAGGTACCTCACATACCACCACAGTTCATATGAAGTAAAGTCAGCCGAATACTCGAAAATCCTGATATGAGTTATATCTTATATTGGCCGATATATGCGGTATAAAGTCACTCGGAAGTTCCAAAATCTTTATATTAAGTATATGGGGGCTGAGAGAAGTATTGACCCGATTCAACCCATTTTTGACATACAGATATACTATTATAAATTTTATATCTCACACATTGACCGATATTTTCGATAAAAGGTCAGCTAAAGGTACTGGGTTCCACATAAGTATTCGGTACCTAGGGGCTTGAACAGTTTTGGTTGGATTAGGACAAATTCTAATCATAAGGTGGCATACTTAAAAGGCATTATTCGTGTAGAGTTTTATCCCGATACATTCATTGGTGCTTGATTTGCATACGGGAAAGGAAAATAATCAGATGGAATTTAAAATTGTGTTATACTTGTATGAGAAGTAGTTGTTGTTGTAAACTACCTATTTTCGCACTGTAATAAATATAACGGAATTCAAATAAAAGTGGGTGGTGCCACGCCCATCGCCCAATTTTAACAGTGGCTCCCATAAAGTTCATACCATCTCGGAGGTAAAATTGAATGTCCCTGGCGTTCTTAGTCAGTTAGTGGGCGGAGCTATCAGCAAATTTTATCCAGTTTTACAGTGCCGGAGGGGGTGCTCAAGGGATTTTTTCTGAGCAAGTTTGCTTATTTTAGCTTGAATATTTTGGTAAATTAAACCTTTTAGGGGCCACGCCTATTTTTAAAAATTTTAAGCCCACAGGTGCCCCTTACTACTGCGATTATCTGTTGCCAAGAAACATGTGTAAATATCTAAATTTTTACTCAAGACTCAACTTGCACAGACGGACGGACAGTCACCCGGACTTTAACTCGTCTTTTCATCCTGATCATTTTTATATATCTACATCTAACTCTAAACTATTATTATATGTAGCAACATGTTGCAAGAGTATAATTAAGCTTAGGGTTCTTATTAACTCCTAAATCAACAAAGTTAATTACTTGCTGTAGACTATAGTTATACGTATACCATATATAGGGAGAGGAGTACATATATCTCTCAGGAAACCACGTCGTCTTACATTAATTAAGGTTCAGTGGCGTATCCTTTCTATCGCTCCAAGTAACGAAGTTATTTAAGTTCCCAACAACAACCGGATACCTTTTATCAATTAAAGTATTTTATTTTCCATCGTCGGTTACGTGATCACGGTCCAGCTGCTTTAATGGTTTGGTGAGGAGCTCCTGTAAAGGTGTTTTACCTCTTCATTTCTGTGAAAATGGGGTTTAAACTGGGACAAAAGTCTACCGACATACTTTTTTACAAGGCGTGGTAAAGCAGTTAAGCAGTACTCTTTTCGATAACCGTCGTCTTTGGTTCGAGCAGCGTCGTCAATACCAAAGAAACTGTGCGTGCTGCTATTGATCAATGGCCGAATCGGTTGATTACTTCTATGAAAGCAAAATATCACCATTTTAAATAAAATTTTGTACATTGCTCATTTAATGTTTACATTAATAAATAAAAGTATACATATGTATATTTTTTTTAAATTTATTATACTTGTAGTCTCATTTTTATAACAGCCTGAACTTGTAACTGAACTTATGGCAGACTAAACTTTTGGAGTACTTTATAACATAAGATATATCAGTTATAATTAACAAGAATTTAATCGAACCTAGATAAGTACCTCAAGAAACATTAATTGAATCTGAAAGAGTGTCATTAAATATCACTCGTTTTATTCTCTTAATGAGTTTCGAAGTTACTCATTGAATAGTTCTTAGGTGAAAACCAAGATCTACTTAGATTTTACACGAGTCTTAAGTGATTTAGGGTATGTTGTTGTTGTTGTTGTAGCGTCAGAGTTCTATCGAGTTGACAGTCCTTGACCGGATAAAAATCCGAGCTCGTTTCGGTTACGTAGATCCGACTGTCGTAGGAACGGTGATTTAGGGCATCGAAAGCTTTGCCAAAGTCAGTGTAGGTAGGTAGGTAGAAGTCAAGCTACTCACTATCATAGAACTTTTATAATCTCGCTATCTCGTTTCATTGTTGAGCTCAAGCCATCTGTCAAACCCATTTTTAGCGTATGTTCTCCAAACGCCCAATGCAAGGTTATAGTAGCTGTAGTAGTCTGTAAATAGTATTCCTGTAATAAGTCCTTGGTTCCAATCTTATCATACTTGGCCATGTCGGCCTCGTTATCTTGCAGTTAGTTATTGATTTCCATTTGCACTGGTCGTTCACAAAGTAATTTTGGTTTTTTTAGTGCAATTTAAACTCGATTTTTTTTTATTGTGTACAACATTTTATGCAATTAGACAAATTTAATCTTTCAGCAAGCTTTCGAATTGTTATCCGACGATTTTTATCTACCAACGACTTTATTTTACCCACATCAGCTTCGAGAAACCTGGCAGAACGTGGTGCATTTTCAAGATCGAAATTACCGGAACTAAATTTTGACATCCAATTTTGGCATTGGCGTTCGGTCAACACATTTCTGCGTTCACATCACATAATTTTCGCCTTGCTTGAACTGCATTTTTACCCTTTTGATAGTAAAACAGGAAAATATGCCGAAAATGCTGTTTACGATCGTTCGTCTTCGATATGGCACCATAAACAAAAGTATTTCAAAAAATTTAAGAAAATTTGTTTACTAACAAGCCGTACTATATTAGCTGTTCAAATATATAAGGGTACAGCGGTTAAATGTGAACTTGTTTGCGAAAAAATTCAATAAGATTAGCTGTTGTCATCAAACAAAATAACTTAGTGAACGATATGTTCAAAATGAGTATACAGTTCTCTTTTAAACGTTCCTAGCAGGCACGGTACCAATTCGTGGATTCGTCTAAAGGGGCTCCTAGCTTGGCCAACTCGTCAGCTTTTTGGTTGAAGAAAATGTTCCCCTGGAACCCAAATTATGGATAAGTGAAGTTGACCTGCCAGTAAGCTTAAAGTCCCCCTGCAATTGTTGACTACGCTGGAATTAATAAGTGGCGTCGACAAGGCCAGCAATACCGCCTTGAAATCTATTCTTGGAAGGATATAGTCTGATTTACTTAAGTTGGAAGGTGCTGTGTCCCTAATCTTTCCTGTTCCAAGCTTTTAATTCCTATATTCTTATAGCAGAACTTGCTGCTACTTTCCGAGTAAAATGGTCTATGGGCAGCTGATGCAAGAGTGTATTGAGCGCTTCTGGTGGGCATAACATAACAAAACCGATCGATTTCAACCACCAGATATATTCTATTCAGCGTCACCACCCATAAAAGCAGGAAAAGGATACCTTATTGAGGAGTGCCCCTACTTACGTAGCTTGTTTTTATTTCTATATTGTTAAAATCTCCATCTACGTCAAGAAAGACAGCCATTGTGTACTGTTTGCGATGTAGGGACTTTTCAATTACAGACAATTTCTTGTTGTTGTAACGATTATCCAGTCCCTTTTTGGGGACAGCAATAAGTTAACATCAAAGTCACTTAAGGGTAGGCCCAGGAAACGAGCTGTCTCGACGTGTTCGGACCATAGGGAAAAGGGGATAAGTGGGTAGGTTTCATTGGACATGCAAAGAGGTGCTTAGTGTCATGCAGGGACTAGTTGCATGCAGGACATATGTTTTGTATGTCAGGGTCTAGTTAGGATCGGTAGGAGTTTAACCTACTATAATACCCAGAGCGAAGTTGAGCTAGGGTCATTATTGCTTCACACGGCAACTCGAGTTCTTGTTCTGCAATAGGTGATTAGTGTCATGCGGAGCCTCGTTGATTGCTATATTCTTGATAAGAAGGAATCACTCTAGATTCTCGTGACAACTCGAGCTCTTCGTCTGCAATGGGTGGGGGTTTGACTCCAAGTACACCATTCACTGAAAGGGAGTCGGTGTTGATGGCTCCACTTTGAATGGCGGTCAGTGCATGTCTAAAGTTTGTTTCGTCCGAAGTCTGGTCGGCCTACTGTTCAATGTCGTCGACGTAGTCAAGGAAGGACCTGTTGATGTTCGTGGGAAGCGGGTTCACTTCAAGCAGACGACTGCAGGGATGGTTTCTGCGAAAACCTGTGAGAAAGTACAATCATCTTCGACTCCTTCTGGTGTTTGTGAGATTGATCAGACAGGGAGTCATGTTGCCTAGACCGTAGAGGTTCCTTGTTGTCCACTCGACTGGAGTGATGGCGCATTGCGCGTACTAGGTGCATTTTCCACGGCTGTAGAGGCTATTATCGCAGTAATACGAGGGGCCACATAACGTGTGAACGACTCCGTATGTGTCTTAAAGTCTCAACAGGTTTTAAGATAGCTGCAGCCATTGCATGTGTTGCATTTAACCGCGGTGGAACCTTTTGGCGCAAGCGCAGGAGAGAAATTCCTCTGGGCCCGGGTTGGACTGCTAGGTGTTGCTCCAAAAATCATACCGATACCTTACCGATCCAAACAGGGTTAGATTTTCGAAATAATAGTCCTTGGCCGGATAAAATTCTTCTTCCTGAAACCTATTTACACATGGTTCTCAAATTCAAGAATATTTGTTGGTGTAGATTTCCCTTTACGAAATCCATACTGATTAATAAAACAAAAAAATTATTTGATCTGTGATAATAGTTTCAAAAAGTTTACGTATCTTCGATATTTATGCACTTCCCCTAAATCTACTCTTATTCAAAGATATTACAAACGACAATTATCTTAATCAGCAACATTAATGTACATTACTATGTAAATGAATTCGAGTAGTGTATTTTTCCAAAGCATATCCCAATGCTCCTGCTTGACACTCGTCACAATATAAGAAACTAAGAGCTACATACAAGTAAAAAAGAGAAAAAAAAAAGACCCGAACTTCCTTTACAAGATTGTGACTGGTGACGAAACGTGGTGTTTTCAATATGATCCCGAAACGAAACGCCAGAGTGCTGAATGGAAGGCGCCGGACGAGCCGAAACCCAAAAAATCGCGCCTGGAGATGTCAAAAGTGAAGACAATGCTGATTTGTTTTTATGATTCCAAGGGTATTGTCCACAAAGAAATTGTTCCACCCGGCCAAAACGTTAATGCGGTATTCTACCTTGGAGTTTTGAAGCGTTTGGTGCGTCGTATTCGACGTGTTCGGCCCGAATATCGCGAAGATGGAAGTTGGCGTTTGTTGCACGATGATGCGCCGTCCCATCGATCGACGCTTGTGGCCGATTATTTGACCAAAAATCACATGTTAACAATCAACCACTCCCCGTATTCACTTGATATGACAATGCATTTGCCGATGATAGGAAAGCGTTATGCAGACGTGGAGGCCATTCAAAAGGCTTGCATCGGCATACTGGCGGCCATACCGAGCAATGAGCTCAAACACTCGTTCGACATGCTTTTGGACCGTGCAAAAAACTGTATTAAAGCAGGAGACTATTTTGAATGAAATTAATTGATTTTGCCGATTAAACCATTTGTTCTGCCTTTTTTTTAAAGTTCTGTTTACTTTGGAAAGCACCTCTTGTAATAGTAAAAAATCGGTAACTGTTCTTTTAACACACTATTTATTACATGAAATATGTATATGTACTTCAGATTTGTGGTCAGTATAACTACAAAACTATTGTAGATAGATTAGATTAATGGTATGCATCGCGACCTATGCTCTATTGTGCCCTTAAAAAACTATTGTAAACAGATCTGATATTTATTTGCGTGTATTAGCTGTGACATTTTTGTCTTGGGAAGGCGGATTAGACGAGTTATTGAGCAAAGCTGTGAGTGTTGCATGCGATGAGCTTAACGTGCTGGGTTTTGCAAGTGGATTTGCATCACTGGAACTGGTGGCTATATTGCTACTTCCAACATTAGCATTACTCTTATTGTTTTTGATGAAAGTGTTAATCGGCGAAACTGGGCTTACTGTGTTGGATGAGCTCATTGTTTTAATACTGCATCCACCGCTATTGTTGTTCTGTGCGGCAATACCTTGTAGCAGAGCATTTCGTAAGTGACTATTGCCCTGTGTGCCGACGCCAACCGAAAAGGAGTTTGTAATCAAACCGCGGCTCTTTATGTTTAAGTCCACAAAGAAAAGTTTCATCTTTTGAATCATAAATTCGGGCACCGTAAACGTATTCATAATACTGATATCAATATTAGTTTTTGCCCGATATAATTCATGAGTTTGTTTTAATCGGCACACTTCTTCGTATATTAAAAATAGAAACCGTGAATTACGATTTTGCGGCGCTATAACGTTTTGAGAACTTAACCAATCGCGATCTTCATTATCGGGCAAGTAGCGTATTAGTTCTGGGTGCTTACTTGCCAAACGCTCTTTACCATCCGTGCCAAAACCAAAAGCTTGGTTAGCCTGTACATCTAACACAAATTTAGTTGTTACGGAGATATGTGCTGTATTCCAAAAAATTTGTCTTCGCACAGGTGCAGCGGAAACAGTAAACGAACCCGGTGTCTGTATTTGTCTCTGTTGATTTGAAGATGAATTAAGAATAGTTTTTACATTTCCTGTACCCTCTGTTGTATTAGATTCAGCACTTTGGTTGATTGTCTGTAGCTGTTGTTGTGAAGCGACTGTTAGTAGCTTCTTTGTGGGTAGTTCACTAAATTCCACATGTTTAGGTGGTGGACGTCGCACTGCGAAACGCAAGCTGGTTGTCTCTCCAACAGGATATTGTGGTGTAATATTTTTGCTACTAACAGAAACACAGGCAAGCGGCTGTTTTAAAGTACGGTATGGATTATACTGTGCTTTAGCGTTCTCCAGTAAAGCACAAGACATCTTTTGAAGCTAAAAGGTTTATAAATTGATGAAATATATACATCATTAAAGATAGAAATACTTACAATCTCTTCTGAGACAACGTTTTGACCTAAATTCTCCTTTATGTTCTTAAATGCGGGTTTAAAATACGTCTTCAAGTACCAACACATTAAAAAGCATGTAAAAATTATGAAATTTAATTTTTATGTTTACAAAATTACATATGTGCTAGGTACCTCCATATAATGTTTAATTACGACATCTATTTCATGGTCAAAAGACTGTTGAATACTAATACGTAGCAATTCCAGAGAACGCACCGCTGATTCAGCAGTTGCTCCTGTGCCGCTAACTTGTACAGGACAGCTCAAACGTTGTCTCAACCTTTGTAACATTGTTTCAGCCATGTGAGGTGTGGTCACATATTTCTACAATATAGGTATGAAACGTTAATTTAGTATATTTTGTTGCGATTATTGAATTTCACTAACCGTGGTGTCATTTGACATCATGTTGGATATATTCATAGCACTGGCGCTGTTAACGCCTGTCAATGTTGGCGCGATCGATTGTTGTACTGCTTGTTGTGTCGCTTGGCCTTCCAATTTTATGGTTGGAGGACTCGCTATGCTTGTGACCATCGAGTGTGTAGTTTGATTGGAACAGTTGGAGTCATCAGAAGAGGATTGCATGCCACCAGGTGACCTATTAGCCTCCGTTGAAGAAGCGGAAGACGACCCAGCATCGCTTAAAATTTTCCAACTGCGTTGAATTACCATGTCCGCTTACTTTTTATTTCTCGTAATATTATGGAACTTAAGATGTAAATTTTACATTACTGATGGAACTTTATATCAATACTAACAAGGTATTAGAAATATGAAAGTTCTGTATCGATATTCTACGTTTTTTGCCTTGCTAACCAGGTTTCTCTCACTTTTTTTACATATACAAATCACATATCAGAGCCACTGCGCAGTTGCAAGCAAACAGCATTTCATCCCTGTCCAAAACAACTTTTTGTCTTAGTTATATAAATATATACAAAACATCAAGCATATATTTTAATAAATTGCTATTAAAGCAATTCTTCTTCGCAGACATGAAGGCGGTAACATTGTTCTCCGATTTCTAATTTGCGTTGCGAATTAAGCACTTTACATAATTCAGCATTGTCGCCTTCGTCCATATTTTCCTCCTCATCTATTTCAACCGTGTCAAAAGTATCACTTTCTTTGGAACATGAGCTTTTAGTTAAATGTCGATGTTTTGTAGTTGATAATTTGGCATCGAACTCATCCATATAAATTATTGGATTGCTATAGTTCATCGGACGTTCGTAATTCTCGTTTACTTCAATTCCAAGTATATCGGGGACCATAAACGCAAAAAGCCAACCGACTAGTGGCGTAGAACCGTAGGTGTAGCTAGACTCTTTGTGATAAAACAACCAACCATCTAACTGGGGTATATTTTCTGCCCAAAACGGATAGCGTTGGAATGCTTCTGAAACGTCAGCAACATTTTCAAAATCATAATGCGGCAGGAATTTAAATGATTTTTTATTATATGTATTACAAACAGAAAGTTCAGGACACTCTTCGAACTTTGAACGCAACCAAAAGAAACGAAACTCTGCTTCACAATGAACCAATTCATGATTGCCATAAACTAATGCATCCAATACATAAAATGTATCCTCGCCGGGTGAATAAACACAGTCAAGTATTGTGCTCATTTTACTTCCGCGGGCACCACTGCCACCGGGCAATAAACTATGAAAATACATACGCCGACGGCCAGACTTAGTAAACATTTCAGTGCGTCCACTATAAGTCACAACTAAACAACGTTGCCCTTTTGGACATGGTACCAAAATCCAATCACATATATTCTCGGGACTCTCTCGTAACCATTCAGATAACTGCAAGGAATATTCGGAACCATCTGCATCTTGCAATGCCCTAGACCTTTTTTTAATTGTTGTTGTTTCCTCGTTGTGGTCATCACAACAATCTATACCACGTTTCAAATCCTGTAGAAGCAGACGATTCTGTTTCTGCTCTTGTAATAATTTTCTACGTCTCTCCTCTTGTAATTCGGTTATTATTTTTCCACTTTGCTTGTATAAATTACGAAACATCTTTCTAAATTTTTAGATATAAAAATACATTACTATTATTAAACATCAAAATTCTCCCCCTACAACAACAATAAGAACACCAAAAATTAAATATATCCCCGGCACATCGTCTTTATTTTCGAAAACACTGTTGCCAACTCAAACTTTGTGCACTCAATTAGATTAGGGTGGTTGTCTTTTTAATAATTTGACTAATAGTTAATACTAAAATTAAATTACTCTTAACAAAAATGAATTAATTTACTTTAAAAATAGTTTATACTATTATATTTTCATCACATTTAAATAAATACTTATTCATAAGCTATCGTCAATATAATTGGCGTTGTGATCTGACTACGACTTTCCACTGCTGGTGTCTCGTATTTCAAATAAATTTATATTAATATCAATAAAGTTTGTATAATTATGTGACAGTAAGCAAAATAAATTACTGAGCGTAATTGAAGTAATGTCCATTTCTTTCATTTTTGGTTTGAACATGCACCAACACTTAATATGTTTTGTAAACTCATTATTTGGCAATACTTACTGGATATTCGAAATGTCAAATTCAATTCGTACATAGCAGAGTTGCATAGTAAAGTATTTAAGTACCAGTTGTACACAAATAGAAACTCTAATCCATTGAAAGAATTAGTGGCGAAACTAACCCATGCAACCCACGAGGCCTTTTCGTACGAGACGGATGAACGATATCACGTACACAAGAGTTTCGGTTAGCATTGTGAATGGGACTTTAAGAAACTCATAGCAACTTGAACAGAAATCTCTGGTTGCGCTATTGGGTAATTAACCTGTGACTTAAACGATAGATGCTTGAAGGTCGTATACCAAAAAATTTTATAACAGATTTAGATTTTTTTTACAAATTTAAAATTATTTACTAACTTTGTAAAAAAGAAAATAAGAAAGATTCTGTTTATGCAAAATTTTAATTTATTTTTAACTATTTCTAAAAACGAAAAATAATATATAAGATTCAATATCATTCACATTATTTAAGTAGGTGAAATGTTGTCTGGTTGTGATAAATTTCCAGCGGAATAGGGATTCATCAAAAAGCTGATTTTCAAAGCCTTGCAGATTTAAACCAGTCTAGAAGAATTAAAACAACCAATTAAACATACATATGTAGATATACAAACAATGTTATAATGGACGATTTTGTGTAAATATTCAGCTAAGTCTATGAAAAGCGCATTTAAAAAAGGTATTTCGTGTGAAGCACATTGTTTAAAAAAAAATGTTCAGTGCTCCTGTAACATCCTGATATCGTTTTGACGGACCCAATAACATATTGCCCTACCAACTATTAAACCATTGTAGTTGGAATGAATGAATTTGAAAAATATATATGTATATATAAATGATCAGCGTGACGGGCTAAATCGATTTAGCAATGTCCGCCTGTCTGTCCGTCCGTCTGTCCGTATATATGACAACTAGTCCCTCATTTTTTGAGATATCGATCTGGAATTGTGAAACAGCCGATATCGGACTACTATATGGTGCAATTTCCAAATAAATTGTTCGGTACGGATTATTATAGAATATACATATGTAGCTGACATACAAACAGATCGATTCAAGTTCTTGTAAGCTATCTTTTGTATTTGTGAAGAGTATTATAGCTTTGGTGCAACCAAAGATATAATTTTTTCTTGTTTTATTAAGATATCGTCGCTATATTATATGGGTATATGAGGAAAACTTCGACCAGGGGAAGGTCTGGACGGATTGGATTACCTTTGGAAATACTCAAGTATAATCGAGAACACATTTCCCCTCCATTTTATTAAGACAACTCACACACTGACCGACATATTCGGCTCGAATAACGAAACTTGTGATATGTCGATTTCACACATTTTTTAAACTGTATTGCAGTGGTTGTCCAGTATACCGAATTTTCGGTTTAACGAACCATCAAAATAATCTTATTGATATTAATAATATTTTTATCTTGAACTTTGCATTTTTTGCTTTCGCTCTTAAAATTAACATAATTTAGTCTGTTCAAAATACTTTTTTCATGTGGTTGGTTATATTTCGTATTGTTTAGAAAGTGCAATGTCAAATAAAAAGAAAATAAACTAAATCTATTGAATAAGATTCGTTTTACCAAGGGACTTTCAGTAAAGGCCATATCCGCGAAATTTAAAATCGGCGAAAAACTCATCGCAGGAAATTACAGGAAATTAGTGCGTTACGTGAGTTGGTGAAAAGCTGTCATCTAACGTAAATAGTGTAGAGTCATTTATTAATAAGCTAGAGAACTTCATATAAAATAATAACCTTTCACACGAAGCAATTTTCAAACATTTTTAAAGGTTAACATTTTTAGCGTTCGCCAAGAAATTACGATCTTAAGTAATTTGAAAAATTTCAGAACCGAGTCCTTTCAAAAACAAATTGCTACCTTTAACCGTAATTAAATGAACTCGAAGTCTACTTGGAGGAATGCTGTCCTATCGTGGTCTTGGAAATTGTTAAAAAAAAAGTAATTGAATTAAATTATATTTATTTAAAACTGTATATATAATATAATATCTCGTTATTTATTTGAAAATATGGTTTTATTATAGTTTATATATTTAAAGAATTTTTCTATTTTACGAAATAGCTTCGTTATATTGGGCGACCATTGTACGTATTTCCATTATTATATGGACACTGTATTTTGCTAAGATATTTTTCATATTGACAGATACACACAATATAAAGCCAACCCAAATAATGTGCGACTAAAAATTTAAAAAAATTCAAAAGTTTTTAATTTAAAAAATCCCAATCTTGCCTATGGCTGACTTTTTATTTTTAAACTCAAAATCAGGATCAGCAAGTAAGCAAGGGCTAAGTTCGGGTGTAACCGAACATTTTTTACTCTGGCAACTTGCAAGGATCAAAGCCGGGGAAAACTCTTTTCGAATTTCAATACTATGACAGGTTGACCAATATTGTCGATAAAAAATTCGTAATAGAAACTGGGGTCCAAATATTCGGTATCTGGGCGCTTGAATAGTTTTGGTCCAACTTAAACGATTTTTGACCATAAGATGCTCACCTCAAAGGCACTATTCGTGCAAAGTTTTATGCGGATGCATTTATTGGCTTGATTTGTATACTGGAAAGTGAAAAAAAATATGGGAGTTCAAAATTGTGTTATATGGAAAGTAGGCGTGGTTTTTGTCTGATTTCGCCCATTTTCGCACTGTAATGTAGGAATGTCATTATAATCACATATTACCTACCGAATTTGGTTGAATATGGGTTTTCACCTTAATGTAGGCAGTGCCGCGCCCATAGTCCAAATTTGACACCGAATTATGTATATAAAATTTTTTCGTAACATCTCGGGTGTAAAATTTTATGTGCCGCGAGGTTATAATCCGAATTCACCCATTTTCACAGGGTGGGGGGTGAGCGTAGTATGTACATTAAACTTATTAGAGGGCAGGACGACGCCCACTTTAAAAAAATGTCAGCCTACTATCTTATTGTGGAGCTTAGTTATGACACTTTATATTTTTTCGATTAATAGCCTTTGGTGGCCATGGTTGGTAGTCTGATTCTGCCTATTTGCAATACCAATCCTTCTCGGGTGCCAAGAAACATGTTGGTACACTTGGTTTCATCAAGATATCTAAGTTTTTACTTAAGGATTCGCTTGAATGTTTAAATTTGCCGGCTGCTGCTCTAATATGGTAAACAATTTTTAGAAAAATAAATATGTTTAGTTTCAAAGTTGGGCGATGAGCGTTGTACCGATTATTTCGACATTCCCATGTTACGGCGCGAAATCGGACTGCAACCACGCAACCATATAACACAACTTTAAGTTCCATTTGATTTTTTCACTTTTCAGTATAGAAATCAAGCTCCAATTAACACGTCGGGATAAAAATTTGCATGAAAGATATGCCACCTCAGGTTTAAAAATTAGACCATATCGGACCATAACTATTAAACGTATTATATTAGATATACTTTAGTTTATTGGCGAAAATATGTGAAACTACTATGTTACATTAAATAATTCTAACAAACTTTGCCCTCCTTATTTGTTTTTAATTATGACTTTCGAAATTACAAAATAAATAAAAATTAATTTAAATGCAATTTCAATAATTTTTTTATGTCTGATTTGCAATCCTGGAGATGGAATACCTTAAAGAAACTATTTATGTAAAGCTTTATTTCGATAACGTCTTAGACTCTCGTTTTATATGCTGTAGAATTAACGAATCAGAAGAAATTTAAAAATGTTATATGCCCCAATAGGCGTGGTAGTTGTTCAATTTCGCTCACTTTCACACTGTTGCATAAGAACGCCGGGATAGTGAAATGCATTAAATTTGGTTGAAATTGGTACAGTAGTTACCGAGTTATAAGATGTCACCCAAAAGTGCGCGGCGTCACGTGCTTTATCCAATTTTGCCACTCTCTCTAAAGAAATACTAAAACATAGAAGCCCTTTCCTACTGCGATTCGCTATGCTAAATTACAGTTTTTGTATTTCAATTTGATGGTTAGTTATAGCATTTTATATATTTTCGATTAACGGGATTCTGTGGGCATGGTCCGATTTTGAGGGGAAAGTCTGAACTGAACTGAATGAATTAAAATTGGAATGATATTAAACTAACATAAACTTGAGAACATGCAATTTTATGCAAATGACTCACACATCAACCGTAATGTTCGGATTAACGTCTGCTAGAATAACGAAAATCGTATGTATATACACGTATATAATGTTATGTACCAAGTTGAAATTGGTCGAGAACTTCCTGTGATATAGGATATCCGCAAAGCACTTTCGAATCATCTTGCTTCTGAGATTAGTACATACATTAAACTTATTATTAGAAAGTTTGCCACGAAGTTTGTAAACAATAATGGAATTTCCGAAGAAATTGTTCAGATCGAATCACTATAGCATATTGCTGTCATACAAGCTGAACGAATTTGTGAAGGGTATTATAGCTTTGGTGCAACCGAAGTTAACGTTTTTTCTTGTTTTGATATATGTATATGTATGTCTCTATATCTATCCCGATTAATACTAAGTATGTGCAACATGTTGCGACATATTTACATATGTACAAGTACTGTATATGATCTTAAAGTTTTCTCAGGGAGTAAATTAGGTGGCACGGTTTCCTTTTAAGTATATGTATGTATGTGTAAACATTAATAGGCTTCGAAATGGAGCGTTTGATTTTTCAGTGCGCTCATGCATTACGAAGAAATGTGTGTGTACCATACTTTTATGGGTTGAAATATGATATGATGGAAGTGTTAATAGTTTCCATATATTTTGTTAAAGAGCACGTGAATAAAGGCCAAGCATACATACGTTCATACAAATCAGGCCGCCGCCGGGTAGGTGGGTTGTAAAAAGGAAACAGATACGCATAATGTTCAGATGGTGTTACTTTGAGTCCCCTGATGCTTTCCGTTTTCTATTCACAGAAATATATGCACATGATGAATGAATGAAAGCCAATATGTATACATATATGTAAATATATGGTATGTGCAGATGTAAATATTTTATATATTGAAAGTAAAAACTGGCAGTAAGAAAACTCGAACAACCGACATTATAGACGCTTCTTAGTTTGTCTGCAATCCACTATAAGTCAAACGGGCAATTACTACAAGATACACACGCTTCCATCCACAGAAATGTCGTGGGGAGCACTCATGCGCCAGCCGATACGAAACCTCCACAGGCGTATGCGTGGAAGTGTGTTAAGAGGCAGGCTGGCGAGAATATACTGTACTCTTTTGAACAATTTACAGCGATTTCCACCGCAACAATAATAAAAACTATGGCATACAGAAGTGAAATAGGAAAACACCGACAAAACTGGATGTTAATGCGATCGTTGAAAAACTGTCCATACACGAATATACGATTTGTATGTATGTGGTCTCATGTGTGTGTTTCCTCAGATAGTTGTATTTTGATGTGATATTTTGGAGCAATTGTCAGTTGGAGGACGAACGTTGAAGCTTTTGGTACACTACAGACTTTTTGCAAAATAAATATAATTTCCCAGTAAACAGTGAAAATGAGTTCCGTAGTAAGTCCGCCAAAGTGGTTATATTATTTGTCATGTGTTTGGATAGGGTGTGTGTGTGTGAATATGTAGTAAAGAAAAAAATTTTCATTCTGAATTACAGGACGAAGACCTGACACCTGAACAAATTGCAGGTGAGTTGCTTTCTACTAATCCGCAGAGACATCGCTAAGCGTCCTTATTCCAAATTTTTTAGTACTCCAGAAAGCCTTTAACAGCTTTGACCACCAGAAAACCGGAAGCATACCAACCGAAATGGTAGCGGATATTTTGCGTTTGATGGGACAACCGTTCGATAAGAAAATCTTAGAGGAACTAATTGAAGAAGTAGATGAAGACAGTAAGTAAAATTTAATATAACCCAAGCCAATTATATTTGCCAGCAATACTTGCCATTGCATTTGCTTTACACCAGCGGCGAGTTAAAGATCTTCAGATTTCGTTCTGAAATCACAGAGTCGGTTGGGTTTATAAAATTCTCATAAAGCGAATTTCAGTGAATTTATTTACAATTTCTATGTTCAAATCATTTATGCACGTACATACATAATTCGGGTAATCTTTTGGGATGAGTTCGCTTTCCTTCAAAAATTGCATTCAATAAATATGTATATAGCTAATCTTCCGAACTATTAGTACATTCATTTGTAAAGTGATTAGTGAATTTTCTGAATAATTTGAAAATACTCACGACTTTAAATAAACAAATCAAACATTTCAATTACAAATACAATTTCAGCTCTTTTCACACGAAAATTTAAAACTTTTACTCCAAATATTGAGCTAGAGAACAAATATAATAGTTTTGAATGCCTCAAAACACGAGCACGATTTTTTTTATAACCCAGGAACCCAATAGTGCGTTTAAACTTAACAGGAATTCCCCAAAGTCACTTCATTAATAGTTATATACATTTATTTGCGAATATATATATACGAATATATATAATAATATATAAGTCGTTGAATTATATTTGTTTGCGTTCACTCTCTGTAGAATCCGGTCGTTTGGAGTTTGAGGAGTTCGTGCAGTTGGCTGCCAAGTTTATCGTCGAAGAAGATGCCGAAGCTATGCAAAAGGAGTTGAGGGAAGCTTTCCGCTTATACGATAAACAAGGCAACGGTTTCATCCCAACAACTTGTTTAAAAGAGATTCTCAAAGAGTTGGACGATCAACTGACCGAAGCAGAACTTGATATTATGATTGAGGAGATTGATTCGGATGGGTCTGGCACGGTGGACTTTGATGGTAAATTTATGAGTGTTTATCAGCAATACGGGTGCACTATTGGCATTCTTGTATCTGTGTGTATGTGTTTGCTTTATTAATGCTAAATTGCCTTCATACGTGTAGTGTAGTGGCATTTATGGCTATAATTAGGTTTTATGGTCCAAATTTTTATTGCCACAGACATTCGATCGAATGCTTCTGTTATAAACAACAAGAAAACGCGTCTATGGGTGCGAGGGCGTTATCCGATTATTTATTTTCTAATGCGTTAATTAGCGTTGTTCGGCTAATTAAAAACAGTCGACATGTAGAAAAACAACAATTGAACTTTTTCATATGAATAATATAAATCGGTTTATAGTGTGAGTGATTTTAGTCAGATATTCTTGTTGTTGGCTGGTTATTTTGCAGTAGCTTTTCAAAAAGATAAATTTTTCTGAAGAGCGTTCACTGGAAATTAGAGGGTGCGTACGTATATATTATTATGCCTTGTTAAAAAATGTTCTCCTATACTGTGAGTTTTCGAACATAAGTATGTGTACCCATGCTAATACGAGAATGTACATACAACGTATGTGTATATGGTATATACTTGTTATATATATGTTGATGAACCAAACCATGTAGAAATGGGTCGCGTGAATATCAATTTTTATACTCTCGCAACATGTTGCTACAGAGTATAATAGTTTTGTTCACCTAACGGTTGTTTGTATATGCTAAACTAATCGCGATAGATATAGAGTTATGTAGTATACTTATATAAATGATCACGATGATATGAGTTGAAATCCGCGTGACTGTCCGTCTTTCTGTCCGTGCAAGCCATACTTGCTACATATAATCCTTGGAACCCAAGCGTATTGCAGATATGCGTAATCGGCCCACTGCTACGTCCACAAAACGCCACAAAACGAAAAAAAAGTGCCATAACCAAGCACTAAATGAATACAAAACGATACTTTTTTTTAAGCGGACGTGACCCGTCCTAAATTTTCAAAACCGCTATAGCTAACTCAACCCCACTTGCTGAGCAGAAGTCTTTTTAGCTCTTCTTCATATATTGCGATAATGGATAAAATCAGATAATAACCACGCCCACTCTCCATTTAATGGTTATGTTAAAAACTATTAAAAGTGCGATAACCTACTGAATAAATTCGCCACAAGCATTAAATTTAAAAATCAAGATGGCACCGTTCACCTTTAGGTGAAATCCTATATCTCAGGAACTACTTGACCAATTTCAACCAAACTTCTCATACCAGTATAACAAACTTTTAAAGTCCACGTGATTCTTTCACTTCTTTTACAGTATACAAATCTAACATCAATGAAATTATCAGAATTAAACTACGCACAAATAGTGCCCTCAAGGTATATCATAATAACCTTTGTATAAGTATGTGGACCCCAGTACGTAAGGCTAATTATTAACCGAACATATCGGTCAATCTGTTAGGTCTAATATTGAAATTCGGGAAGAATAGTTTTGTGATGACAGTATGCCCTTGTACCAAAAATGGAATTAATCGGTCCAATACTTCCGCGGTTGACTTTATACAGCATCTATCGGCCTTATGTGTGGAATTTTAATGAAACTCAAAAATAACCTCTTTCTAACAACATTTTATCCTCTTGCCTAAAATAGGTTGTTTAGCAACATTTTTATACTCTTGCAATATATTGCTACAGAGTAACATATAATACTTTCATTCATCTAACTAGTGTTGGGAATTATCGAGTGATTTCAATTATCGATAGTTAATAACTGAATGATTTTGACTATCCAATTAATATTTTCGTTCATTCATTCAAATTTAATAACTAAGGCCAAGTCGTGCTCTTCAAACAACAATTCAAAGTAGTGGTATTTTATTTATGATCAGCATGATGAGCTGAGTTGATTTAGCCATGTCCGTCTGTATATACGCGAACTAGTCTCTCAGTTTTTGAGATATCGATCTTAAATTTAGCATATAACCTTTTCTCACGAAGAAGCTGCTCATTTGTGGGAATGGCTGATATCGGACCACTATAGCATATTGCTGTCATACAAGCTAAACAATCGGACTCAAGTTCTTCTTAGGAACCATTTTTATTTGTGAAGTGTATTATAGCTTCGGTGCAACCTTGTTTTTAAATAAATGAATACAAAGGTTTATATGTTTTTTTTTTTAAATTTAATTTAATAAATATGAATATAAAAACTGTGTAAGAAAAAATATTAATTACATATATATCATAATTGTAAATTAAAAATATGATTTGATCAAGCTTTTGACCTTTTAATCTATTTCTTCTGTTATTTATTAATTGACCAGCTTAGCTTGAGAGAAAACTCTTACAGACGGAATTAAAGTAGCAGGTAAACATACACTTTTTTGACAGTTCGTAGAGTTCTGGATAGGCTGATTTTTTGTTGTCCCAGTTATTTTAAGGGTATGGTTTCTTTCAAGGAAATCTTGCCTAATATATTGCTCTAAAGCGATATGTGCATTAACACTAGGGGCGTTGTGGCAAATAGTTTTTGCTTCTGTTTTCGCTACTCTTTGGTCAAGTAGAGTCGAAAGAGATAATTTGCTTTTATCCACGGGTAGTTCTATTACTGGGGCTGTGGAAATTCTTCGGTTTTTTTATATTTAAGCTGTTACCTTTTTTACCAATCAGTTTTGAGCATTACTTGAGTTAGTTTCATTTGCAAATGCAATCTTTTTAAATCGTGGATCTAGGAAAGTTGATTTGGTACACATCTTGTCAGACGCGAAATAACTTCCAACAAACTACTTTTTAAGCATTCTCCTTTCGTAGTTTTTATTTGCTTGGTTCTTATTGCATATTGTAGTCCTCTGACTATAGACACAACCAGTGACATCGATGGATAGTTTTGCGCTGAAACTTCTATTGTCATATGCTTTATCGGCTTCAATACGCATTTGGTAAGGAAGTTTTTATAGCAGAGAGCTCTTCTTATATCAAGCATATATGTACGTTCCATTATAAGAAGGTCAGAATTCCATCTAGTAGTAACATCTTGCTTCATCCTTGGTTCAGCCACAACCATTTGCTTTTGCATGCTTTTAAGTTTTTCTACTGCTATAGCTCTGCATTTCTTTACAGTGAGGTGTGAGCCACACATGAGTTGTAGTGTTTTTGTAAGATATCACTTATCGGTTTTTTGATATTAGTGTCGTTAACACTTACTTAACTATTTTGTTAAAAATTTTCCACTCGTTAAAAATCTGTTTAATTCTATGGCTATATTTTGCGCAGTATGTCAGCCGAGCACTTTTTTGGTTGACAGGATGGCAAAAGGATGACGGCCGTGGCACCGCCTACATTTATGTGAAAACGAAAAATCTCAGAACCTACTCGACCGATCTGAGGGCTAGAAAAGTTATAATCCGATTTCAACAAAGACAACAAGACTACCTTGAAGTCAGTATTTGCTGTAAAGGAAAAATAACCACAGGAAATTTAAAATTAGATTTCATCGTATAAGAAGTGGGCGTTATTGTAGTCCGCTTTCGCTCATTTTCACACTGTGACAAAATTAATATAATCTTATGCACGTTTCGTTGAAATTGGACGAGTAGTTCCCGGGATATCAGTTTTTATCTAAAAATGGTACCACACCCATTGTTCAATTTGTACACAGATTCCTAAGAGGCCTTTAATCACCATCTAGCTTGTGACATTTCTGGCGTATTGTTTTTTATTGATTATATGGGGAGTGGTGGAATTTGATTTACAATAATTAATTTTCACACTGTTTGAGAAGGTACCGGAAGGATTTGTTTCCAGCAAGTTTGAGATATGTTTGTACATTAAACTTATTAGGGAACAAATCTTCATTTTCGCTTGCCCAGACGGACGGATGGACAGGCAGTATCCCCTAATATTAACTGATCTCCGCATCTTCATTATTTATATGTATGTATTGTATATCTATATCCGAATTTATCTAGATTAGTTTTAAGTGTTACAAGCATTCGTTAGATGAATACAACTATTATAATATAATATGTTGCGGGTGTGTAAAAATTACTGCCAACAACCAAGGTACTCAAAACTTCAACAGCTATTCTTAATTTATTTTTACAGAATTTATGGAAATGATGACCGGGGAATAGATCTACGTCCACCAACAGTTGCAAAGACGGCGTTTCTCTGCTCGATTAGTTGAAGTCGGTATATAATGTTATAATTACAAGTACAACAATATGAGAGAGCGTCGATTTAAAACTCAACATACCTACAAAAGTACATACATGCATCCGTACTTGCTTACATAAATATTTGTAATGCTTTGATTATACTTTAGAAGCTATTTTTCAACGCCAGCAGTAAAAAAATACGGCCCTGCATCGTGACGCGTGTTTACCAATTTTTTTTTAAAATTATTTTTAATAAAAGAAGTATGTCATGTATGTATATCTCAATATGTATAAATGTATTTTCAATAATCGTTTTTATAGCCATTATCACAATTTTACACGCGTACACAAAATGTATACTCACGCTTAACTTTGTTACCAAAAATATTGCTCATAAAATAAAGTATTTAAATTACAATAAAATAAAAACCAATTATGAATGTCTTTTATAGAAATGCTAAAATATTGCAAAACTTTATATCATAGGTCATAGGTTTTATTACTATGTTTTACTTCTTCGAGTAAGTGATATAAATTCAATCAGAGGGGCTAAATTAAGGGACAATTTTACAGTAAAATTACTGTATCGATCGAATACACAGTAACATTTTTTTGAGTAATACGACATCTTCGAAGGCACCTAAAAAAGGTCCCCACTGATGCAGTGATTCCAACCTTCTTAGATGAAACCTAAAAATAAAATTTTTTTGTTAAACTAAAAGATATTCTCCGTTCAAATCAAACGCGAACAAAAAAAAAAGCAAAAATTGACAAAATGGCGGCGTTTTAAAAAAGTTTAGTTTTACCTTGCCAAAATTCGATTTTTAATCAGATCAAAAAACCGTAGGGTTTATTGTATGTAGAATTATATACAGAATATGCAGAAAGTATTTCAAACTTACGGTTGGCTTAATATCGTATACCTGTATAGCGGTCAATATGTAAGATATCTTAGCAAAATTAAGTGAACGTATAATATTGGATATATAATACTATAGTCTAATGCTGAAAATGCGTGAAATCGGTTCACAAATTAGCTCAACTTCCATATACTGTATATAATGACTTTCGTTATTCAAGCATATTTCATGCCGATTATGTCGGTCTGTTTGTGCGTTATTTTCATAGAATTGCGTGAAAACATATACTTGAACAATGTAAAAATTTAATACAATATCTAGACTTTCTAGGCTTTCCCTATCTCCAATATACACGATTTAGTTACTTCGGAATTTCCACCTGGCTTTAAACTATTTAGGTTGGTCGAAACGAATGATATTTTGATAAATTTAAGTGGACAAGTCTTCTTAAAAGTAATGTGAGTTAGCGCTGAGTATGTATGAAATTGGGTAGACCACCTCTAAACCTCATATCCGCTAGATTTCCGCTTATTTGACTGATTTCTTATATTTCCAATATCTGAAATGTAGCCCACTCTCATATATCTCGTTTGAGTTAATTGGATTGGATTTTAATACAAATATCGCGGACATATAAAACATAGAAATAAAACTATGTGAGTCTATGATCTATAATATAAATTACTAAGAATTCAAATATGATTGTAATCCTTTCTATCTTTCGTCGAATAATGTATGTACAGTTTTATACATGTCGCTACAGAGTATAATAGTTTTGTTGACTTAACGGTTGTGTGCATCACCTAAAGCTAATATAGATAGATATAGAGTTATATATATATATCAGGATGAAGAGACGAGTTTGAATCTGGGTGATGAAACTTGGTACACATATTTCTTGGCATCATGAGAAGGTCGGTATTGCAGATGGGCGGAATCGGAACATTACCACGCCCACAAAACGCAATTAATCGAAAGCCTGTAAGGTTCCATAACTAAGATCTGCATCAATGTATAGCACACATGCTAATGTTTAAGTTATCCACTCCGCTAGAAATAAAATAAGTGAAATCGGATTATATCTCCGCCCACTAATGGGTGGTAAATTAATAACTCGAATCACATTCACGCCTACTCTCTTATATCGGGATAAAATTTTAGACAAATACTGCTTCTAAGGGGTTACATGGGTTCCGTCGGGTAAAGAACGGCCTATTTTCGATAATTTTTTTTTTCATAAAAAAATGAAATATTTTATGCACACTTTTTATTATTCCAAACATACGTATTTTACAAAAGTTTTGTATATTAAAAACTCGGCCATAACGACGTCATTTCCGACAACTCCTCGGAAAAAAGGTGCTTCCCCGTTGCACAACTTCTTACAAGACCATCAAAAGTAAAAAGAAGCTAGTAATTAAGGGCTAAGTTCGGATGTAACCGAACACTTCATACTCTGGCAACTTGTAAGGATTTATGCTGGGGAAACACCTAGAGGTGTAGGCAAAACTTTTTATTAAAAAATATAGCGAAAAGGTTCTACTTCATTGTTTGACGATATATAAGTTTGTGATCCGATTCATTTCAGTTTTGACACAACACTATTATTATGAAAAAAAAAGATTTTCCCCGAATTTCAATTATAAATCTCACAGAATGATCGATATTTTCGCAAAACGTCAGCCATTTCTGGTCCTCATTTCCGGTATCTGGGAGCTTGAATCGTTATAGTCAATTTTTAGGCCGTACAAATTTGTATCCCGATATATTAATTAGTGCTTGATTTGCAAACTGGAAGAATCACATGCATATATATCATAATATTTGAATGTCATAAGATTATTATTGTACCAATGATATGTGATTTCACCTAAATGTAGGCGGTGCCACGCCCATTGTCCAATTTTGACACCGGATTTCAACTCGTCTCATCATCATGATCATGTAGGCCGCCAGTGGTCAAAACTTACAAATTATGTTCACAATTTTGTTTACAACGAATCGATGACTAAAAAACCGGTCCCGTGTTTTGCAGGGAAAAATATGGTCACCTAAGTGTAGTCCTGCATGTTGCAAGAGTATAAAACCACCCGAACTTAGCCCTTCCTTACTTGTTTTATTTTTTTTTATAATTCAGTGCATATATTTCAGGAATATTGTGTCAAATATTGTGTCAAAAAGTCGATTGATCAAAATTGACAAAGTTAAAAGAATTTTTTTATCTGTCATATGAACGTTTTACATAAGATTTTTCAGTATTCCAACATTCTACATAACTCACGTTTTCGAACTCAGCGCCCCTTAAAACTTCAAAACTACAGTAGCGATTGATGAAAGATATTTCTGTAAAAAATTTGCAAGGTTACGGTGGAGAGTTATTTTCAATAACAAATTAGCCGACTTATATGATAAAAATCGTTCTTCTTCCAAATTTTCTGAAAGAATGTAAAATTTAAAATTTGAAAAGCTCTCCCGGTGTTACCTAGGGAATACTATTAACTAATGAATGAGTCTTCAGTTTTTGGTTCGGATGATCTAGCTGCTAGATTCTAGCACAAAGTTCCTTTACTAACTAACTGTGCCTTCAGAAAACATGCTTGTTTTTGGACGAATTATTCTACATACCTCCTTAACAAGAACATAGCATATGAACATACATACATACATATGTATATCCTTAGCCATAACTAACGCTAAATAAACAGACGATTAATTATATTCTACTTACAGTGCGTTCAAAAAATAACGTGTCCGTTTTACAAAGTGTAGCGTTTATAATTAAAAATATTGTAGTTATAGAAAACACTATATAGCTTATAGCTGACTCTCATTTAATACTTGCTTCAATTCTTAGGCTCTTATAGCCTGACATCTTTGTTGGCAACTTGCAACTAAATTTTACGTATATTCCACATCTTTTGTTTACGTTAAATGTTTTCTTGATATTTTGGCTTTAATTAAAGGCCAAATTTACTCTATTGGATTGGCGTCTGGTGGCTGTGATGGCCAGTCTAAAGTAACAATATGGTTTTCTTGTTTCCATTGAGTATAGAGTCTGATCCCATGTTTCGGAGAAATGTATTTTTATCATTCTAACGGCGTTCAGGCTTTCGGGGAAGCAAACCTCAAGTCCATGAGCAGAGAAGAATACATAAACATGCACCCTTTGAGCGTGTTTAACACTTCTTTCAATAAATGTTTGCCCTTTTCTCAGCCGAGCACATCTTTGAACAATAGAAAAGGTAACTCATCTGTGAATATTACATTGCTTCTATCAGTGTTGTTGTTTTAGTGGGTCCAGTGCAACCTTTTTGCACTGCTGCGCTTGATGCCGGATCTTTGAAGTCTGTCCCGTTTTTATTTTAGAGATATGTATGTATATGTATCTAATCTCTTTTTATATACAATTTTTACCTTCTCTTGGACTGCGTAGTGATTTCTTCTCAAAAAGGAGAAAAATAGCTTTGTCCTAACTTTAAAATGTCATGTGATTCTTTTCTTTTATTGTCTTATCATTTACGTTAACAGTTTCTCCATTATGGTCAGGCCACGTCTTCACAAATGTACAACTCAAATTTAAATGCTTGTTGTTTTTTATTATTTTCTTCCAGCTGATCCAAAAGGCTGCAATAATATTCAGAGTTGATTGTTGTACCTTTATGCAGATAATCAATCAACAAATTCCTTTTGCATCCAAAAAACTGATGTCATAACCTTCTTTGCTAATCGTTGAGACTTCAGCTGCTTTGGAGCTGAACAACCAGCTTCAGTCCACTGTAAACGATCTTGTTTCAATTTAGGATCATGATGGTATATCCAAGTTTCATCCATAGTTAGTTTTTGTAGAATTGCTAAGGTGTGCGCCACTAACTTTCCAAACAGCTTTTTATATGTAATTCTCTATGTAAAATATAAAGTATTCTTTCGTCTGAGAGGCCTATGGCATAAGCAATTTCACGCTTGGTCAAACTTGGATCTTAACTAACAATATTATGCACTTCCTCAATGATTTCTGGTGTGGTTGCGGTTTTTGGTCGTCCTTTGCGTGTATGCTCTTCAAGCCTAGCCTGTATCCTCAGCAGCCCAAAATTCGATGATGCGTTTTGAAGGAGAGGACTCCTTATACATTTCTAACAATTGTTCATAAATTTCCTTTGCTTTTAAACCATTCAAAACAAAGAATCTAATCACTGCGCTATATTAAATTTTTTTCAAATTAAAAAAATACTCTGACACGTCAACTTCAAATGGCTTGTAAACAAATAATTAATTCGCAGAATGACTTGTAACTTTGCATGTGTTCTCACGACAGATGTACCAACTTGAGAAAAATTTGGAGGTAGTAGTGATATTTCTTGGTGAGCACTACTCACTTTTCAACCAACCTTTAGTGTACTAATATGTTTTGAGGCATATACTTATGTACTTATGTATGTACTTGTATACATATGTATGTATGTAAATGATCACGTTAAAATTGTGGTGGCTCCACTATTTGTCAAATCAACCGGGTGTTCATCTGTTTTATTGATAACGATAATAAGCTATTAATATTTAGCATATTAGAAGTATGTAGTATATCTTCTTGGCTCGATGCTATGCTCACGATGGCATTTGTGTGTGCGAAAAGAACTACTCTTCTTCTATGGCGACTCGGCCAAATTAGTGGCATTGTACAATTATATCATCGAAGTCTTATCACGCGCTAAGCTTCGGCTCATTTGGAGTGTGAGCCGCTTTACAACACGCGCCGGTAAATATTTTGGTGTATGGCCGACAGATTTAAATATGTGTGCGTGTGTGTCAAAATGTGGTACATATGTAGATACATATGTATGTACGAGCTCATGCCCGCATGTATGCATATACGTACATACATATGTTTGCTGATATAGCGTATTCTAATGAGTCGTTGTGTGCGCACCGTTTCACGCCACCTCCGCCAACACTGCCGCTCGCACGCCGCTGCAATCATGACCAACACCTGCCGAGTGGTAAAGCTCTTAGACGTTTTATCGGCTAACATGCTCTTTCAGCCTGGCTAGCACAGCACGCTCGCTACGGTAAATTTGTTTTGCTGTAGAATTGTATTCGCAATCATGGCCAGAAGCTTTGCGACCGCTCATTTCAAGTCACTGCAGTTAGTTGTTTAACACATTTAGTGCCCAGTTGACATTCCGCGAGCATAGCTGTCGTGAGCTTATCATAAAGACAGGCGCTTTTTATACTCGGTTGGGAATTTTTGCGGTTCAATATACCTGTATTATTAGCGGTCGCAATATCACGATTATAAATCAATTTATTTTCGTGTTTCAAATGATTTTTAGTTGCCGCGGCTGAAAATCGTTTATTATTCAGCTTTAAATACATACACACATACTTATGTACCCGCTTCATACATAGTACTAACGTTAACAAAAACAGAAACAAAAACAGTTAAAATAACCGTAAACAAAACATACAACCGTGAAAACCTCAGCGAACGCCATGCCACAAAGGTACGCAAACCACATGTCTACAGTGTTTAAATGAGATATTAAGATATTGTTATTGGTCTCGTCTGTCCCCAGTGAGTCACATCTTGATTTCAGAAAAGGGGTCTTTCCCAAGAAAAACGAAGAAAATCACATCGACAAACATTCGCAAATATATACGTATGTACATGTATATCTACAAAATTACACCATACGCATGTGCACCACATATGTATATATGCGTATGCGAAAAATTTTCTACGGATCATTCTGAACATCTTTGTCTAAGAGAATATGGGTATAAAACCGGTTTCGAACCAGTTTAAGTGAAGTTTTTTTCGGAATTACAAAAATTTATTCGTCAGTGCTTGAGATATCCGAATGAAATTTGATACATAGGTGCATTTTGAGATTCAATTGATCATATGTCGGAATCGGCCAGATCGGCCATATCACATTTCTCCCATACAATCGATTATTCAGTTATTTTAATTTCCGGCTGCCGGCCTTTACTTAAATAGCTAAGAGCTTGTAATTTCGCAGAACTGTTCTCTAATACATTTTCTTTTAAGCTAAGATGTTCAGAATGATCCGCAGAACATTTTCCGTATTCGCGATTTTTTTAGAAAGAAAATCGACCCGCTCTAATGTACATACCGATGTACCTACATACATACATATGTATATTGTATATGTATGTATATGCATAAAGCTAAAATGTTGGAAACGCTTGCTTTTTATTTACATGTAAATAACTGTTGGGAAAATTCAGTTTTACTAGATTATTTTATACTTAGTTAATTCAAACCGGGCATAATTGTTTTACGATGGTTATGGCAATCATAAATGCATATATTTACACATGTCAATACGTACATACATATGTAAATATGTGCGTATTTAATTAAGGCTTTTATCACTAAACAATGCTAGCAAATATCTAATCCATGGCCGCCCTATCGCAACACCGATCATATGTTCTTTTTGTTTACTGTTGTTGTGTATTTGGTTGACTTTAAGTAGATGGGTTTTCTTAGCAAAAGTGTTGACAGTTCGGACAGAAAAGATTCTCTGATAGAAATGCTTGTGCTGCCATGCTACGGTGTGGTTGGGTGTGCAAATGTATACACATACTTATGTATGTACATGTATATATATATTTATGTACATAGATATAATAATCACATTTATAATTTTTGGTGTATGATAAATGATCCAAATTTAAACACAATCGATTATGGCAACTTAATTTGTTTAATTAAAATTTTGCTTGGCGTGACCACTGCTTATATACATAAGTATATACATATATATACATACATCCATACATAGGTACGTCCAAAGTGAGTATGTGGTTGGGTTGGGTACAGATGTACATATGTACATATAGTCATATTCCCAAGCTTTATAAATACTATATCTTTAAATGTATGTATGTATGTATATTATATGCATATGTGTGTGTTTATGAATTTAAATATCGTACTTTCACAGTTTATTTCTTAAGTGTTTGAAATATTTGTATATTTTGATGTAGAAATTAAGTTAATTAAGGCACCGTTTTGTTTGTTCAAAAAAAATTTAGTGAAGGTGCGAATTATAGTCTAATATAATTATATAATTCTAAATTGAAATAACTCGAAGTGTCAAAAGGGTATAAATTAAGTAGGTTAATGTGTTTCATAGCCGAGTTCTTATACTGCAGTGTATATAGGCGTGTGTAAGTGTGGCCTAAATATCTACATATACATACACATACTTACATATATGGTAACTCCTCTTCGCACTTCTTCCGATTTCACTTTGCATTTGTGTTCGACTTCTACCAAATGTAAGCAAATAAAATGTTTTCAATATACAAAACCGTGATTTTTTGTACTTGTGTCACATGTTTCCATGTCAGCTTCAGAATTTGTCACAATTTTTGTACTAGCGCAAAATGTTGCACAGAGTTCAATGGTTTTGATTACACAACGGTATTCTGTAATACCATACATGACTAAAATTTTAAAATTCTAAAATTTTGGATTCAAAATTAATTTTAATTTTTTAATCCAACATGTTTGGGACTGTGTTATGACTCCACATCGTTATATTATATGTATGAACTTACATATATGGTATGTACGTACGTATGTATGTACTTATGTATACGTATGTGTGTACAATCAGAGAGCTTACTTAAATTGAGGCTAATAAGCTTCGCTTTGGTGCAGAAATTATGTGTATTTTAAGTTTTGTTAAGCGGTAAATGCTATTATCTTAAGGTGGAAACCATAAGTCGTGCTTACACGTGCCTATCCGTAGCAAGCTCACCGTTTATGACTGGAACAAAGAGTACCTCGCACAATCTTATTAAGACTGGATTTGTGCATTCGACTCATTATCTTACGTCAATGGGCATTTAATGCACAGTGAATATTTTATCAACTTTCTACATTCGTCGGTCTCTGTTGGTCCAGAACCTCTAAAAAGTAGAAGAAGTACTTTTAAAAAGCAGTTTTGCGTTCCTTAAAAATTACTTACATTTGTTATGGTTCGGATTACAACAAGAAAAATGTTAACGTCGGTTTCACCAGAATACCCTGCACAAATAAAAAAGTTTCCATAAAAGAACTTGATTTTGACTTGATCGGTCGGTTTTTATGGCAGCTATAGCTATAGTAGTCCGATCTGAACAGTTCGTTGGAATATTGTAGCATTATCTTCGATAATAATTCGTATGAAATTTCATTAAAATATCTTGCCAAATAAAAAAAGTTAGAAAGAGGAAAATCATTATACATATGAATGTATGTACAAGTAGTATATGGGATCTCAAGTAATTCGCAAACCAGCTTCACATATTTTCGGCAATATAGGTACTGTACGTTCACTTAATTTTACTAAGATATCTTAGGTATGGATTGATATATACAGAATAAGGCACACCGAAAGTTTGAAATTCTTATATTAGGTATATCAAAGCTTCCATTTTTAGTATAACGACATATTATTATCGGAAGAAGGTTTTGTCTTACTTTGGCTGTGTGCCAAACGGTAACATTTTTCCCTGTGTTGAGTGGGGTGAAAACATTTCCTATGGTGTAAACAAATTTTACAATTTACTGTGCCAAATAGAAAGTAAAATTTTGACATTTGAAGTTCAAAACATACCAAGCTCGGGAGCTGGGTATAACTCTGACATTCGGATTCACCACGAAAAATGTCAAAATTTCACTCTTATCTGTAAGAATTTTAATTTTTCTACCGATTGGCACACAACCTTTCATTAAGATATCTCATAGATGAAACGATATTTTCGGGAAAAAGTCAGTCATAGGCTCTGAGGTTCATATATTTTGTATCGAGGGGCTTGAAAAGTTATGATTCGATTTGGACAATTTTTAATGTTGAGGTGGCATACCTTAAATTATCTATTTGTGGGAAGTTTTATAAAGGCTTTTAAAATTGTGATATACTGGAAGTAGACGTGGTTTTAATCCGATTTACCAATTTTCGAATTGTGACATAAGTATATAAATATAATGTTTCCTTAAAATTTGTTATGTTAATTTTTTACATTGCTTGAATTATTTAGTATTGTCACCACTGGCAGTCAAATTAACAGTAAATTGGCTGTCAATGTTTACGGTTTTTGGATAAGTAAAATTTGTGTACCCCAAAAAGAGACATAGAAAGTTGTTTAAAGAAGTTGTGAAATACCTAGCTGTTATTCCTTGCCATAAACCATAAGTTTTGCATGCTTCTGTGCAATAAACCATTTGAGTTTTGTGTTAAAAATATAAATATTTATGAAAGAGAGGAGAGGAGAGAGAATTAACTATTTATATATTAAGTTAATATTAATTTTTATTTAAGCATTTTTAAATTCCGAAATATCCATTGATTGGAGAAAGACGTACGCTACTGAGAGGAGCCAGCATGGAATCAAGTGAAAATTTCTTTTCATTATTTATTATTTATTTCTAACCGATAATTGGATAGTCCCTGCTGAAAAAATTTTGACAGCGTGCAAAACAAAGTTTATATCAATTTCTTAACGGGGCATTTGACATGCAATTTAAAATTGCTAAAAATCTGTATTGCTAGCAATATTGCCAATGGAGACTGCACATTACTAATGTTTAACAATTGATGTCTAAATATATGTATATATTGCCATTCATTGCTAGCACGTATAGTTTCGGTCTCATGCTGCTATGACAGATGCAATGCTCCAAATTTTAACAAAACCTGGAAATGATAATTAAATACGTATGTATGTTTATGTTGATTAATATTTTATTGATAATTGTTAGAAGATGTGAATATAAATGCTCATATTCAATTATTGAATTGGTAAATAAACATTATGCTTCAATTATTAAAGTCTTAAAAAATGAAATCTATTTTTCCCAAAAAATACGTATGTAGAAAAAAGTAATTTTCTACTTTAAATCTACAAGTAGAAATCTACTTTTTTCATTCTCCTCATAAATTTTTAAAACTGTTCAAGAGATCAAACAGCGCTATATAATAGCATTATAAAATTTGCCACAGTTGTGAGCGATGGCTGGAGAGATCAATCTTTTGGCGGCATTTTACGAGGTCAACATAATTCCATTAAACTTAATTTGACCAACTCAAAAAAATCTTAAAGTCTGCTTCCAAAGGCTATCGCCGTTTGGTCTTATGTCCATTATACAGAGCACAAAATTGGACAAATAACATTTCTGGGACAGAAGATATTTCTGTACGCATAAAATAAATATACAGTATGCATGAGTACCAAGCAATTGCTTGGAGAGGAGTGGATTAAAACAAAGCGAAATTATGGTGGTCGGATCGCAGTAGTCTATATCAAACCATTTTGTATATTTCTACCATGAGGAATTTTGGGCAATTCTCATCTTTCTTTGCAAAGCGGTCTACCCTTGTGGCTAATTCACTTAGAACTTTTGCTTCATTTCTTTTGACAGAAAAGTTTGATGTACGCTTTTGTATCAGAGAACGTTAATAAAAAGTTTTCGACACGAAACCAAGCAAAATGTTGTGCAACTCTCACCTTTTTACGCCTGCCCAAGCATCAGTCACCATTTGTTTTAGAGACCAACACAGAAAGCAAAGCGATCATTGTGGCATACCCTTTGTTTTCTGAGCTTCGTTGTTTCTGTATGAACTGCCACGCAAAGAGAAGAAAGTTGTATGTGAAATGTCCTTTTGTTTTTTTTTGCTATGTGGTTTCAGTATAAACTGTCAGGCAAAGCAAGGAAAGTAGTATATGCATAGGCCTTTTACTTTTTTCGCTTCGTTGTCAAGCAAAGCGTAAAAATGGACCAACAGCCTGTGTACATTTCGGTACGTTTTTTCCCTGAATTGGGGAATTTGAAAATTGAAATTCAAAACAAATACAATTGCTACGTTTGAATTGTTGTTGTTCTTGTTATTAATTATTATAATCATTGAAAATATTCGTAAAATGAATAAATGCCTCTATTTGAAAATTGCAATATTAATTAAACAAAAACAAATGCATTAATTTGAAGATATAATTTTTATTTAGAACTTTTATACACATGTAAGTGTGTAAGTGTGTCCGTTATTTCCCCAATTTTTTTTTTTTTTTGAAAACGCCCCTGAAGTTCTAGTCTTTGTCCTAAAAAAGAACAACAAACTCTTTGTTTTCAATTTAAACCGTGGTCAAATCCTTTTTTTTTTCCAAGTATATAACATAAGATTTTTTGCGTATTTATTTACTTTATTAAATTTGGCTAACTCCTGCAGTTTTAGCAAATAGTAAAATTTATGAGTTACCAACATTTTTACTAAATAATAATATTATATTTTCTGACTTACAATTTCATTCTTATTTTTTATTTACAATACTTCGTTGTTGTATTTGACAGTTTACCTCACATCTCATAATTTTCTGAATTAACAATCCGATTCGTAGCGCAAAACCAGAGAATGTAAAATATATATTTTTACATTCTCTGGCAAAACATAATACAAAATTTTGATAAGGCTCTTTTTAAAATGCGTGAATTTCGTATATTACATTTTAAGATCTACGAATTGGAGTTTCACTCGAAATGGATTTACGAATCGAAAGCCTCAGCGCCATCTCCCGACTTTACCAGATTGTCTGCTGCCAGCTGATAACGATTACAGCAACAAAACGAAAAACAGCTGGCTACGTCAAAAGATGGAAACCGAAAAGGAGGAAGCCAGAAATTTGGTAATTTAAATAAGCTAAATGCATCAATAACTTTATAAAAAAGATACTTGCAATATAGAAAGGCTTAATTGATTATAATCAAAATGCTTTTATTCGTCAATTTTAGCAGGTGGAGTTTGAGTGGGTGCTACGCGAGGAGGTACATGCGATATTAAAACAATTAAGAAAGATATTGGTCGAGTGTGCTCACCTCTTTCCTGTGCCATTGTATGCCAATGAGGGTAAAAAGACTGAAAAATACATAATGAATGTAGCGCCAGAAAAACTTCGTGCCATTGTGACTCTTACGGGTGATAGCATTACGCATGCAGTAAATTTGACATACATATACATAAATCATATTTAACAAGTAATCCTTTTAAGGATATAAGCTTTAAGCTTGCGCGGCCACCTCATCAACAACAGAAAACTTGCATCAACCAAGACTCGCCATGGAAGTTGCAGCAAGTGCAAGATGCAGCAAATCACCTTCAGCAAGCAATTAACCACATTGATGATGTAGATGCCACTTACCATTTCAAGTGATTTTTAACTTACTTTCACAAATAATTTTTATTAAATTACTATGCCTTATTTTGTAGAACGTCTGATGAAGTCATGAATGTAGTAGGTAACATATTGGAGGCTTTGCATCGTGCGCGCTCTAGTTTGGTGTTACCCAAAAAGAAGCCTATTGCCGATCTGATTAAAAGTCGTAATATGGTCAGTTAATTTTCTTTCTTATGGAAGGACTATTGTTATAAATATATAAAATGTATATTTTAGAAATCCCTTGCTCCCAACTTATCGGAAGACTTGGCCGTCAGTTTTTATCTTCAAAGTCACAAATTGATTATGGCTGTTTACCAACTAATTACCGTACAGGGTACAATGCGCTTTGACTCATGCCAGGCGGAGGCCACCGTACAGTGGTTGAACGACGTAATGCCAATGCTTTGCGCCGGTCTGAAACTCTGCCAACAACTTAAAGACAAGGTATGTTTTATGTAAAGAATAGGAATGGGGTTTTAACCTTTAAGCGGGGGCGCTGTCATTCGTATGCATTGGATATGTCAGAGAAAAAAACACTAATTAATCAATATGATTTAACTAATAACATTAAATAAAATTATAAAACCAGTTGCCTTTATGAGATCAAATAGTCAAAATAACCATCATTTTAGGTATAGTTTTCTTAAAAATCGGTCTCTTCGTCAAGATAACATTCATTGCAAATGACTACAAATGTTTCTGTAACATGATGTGCGGTAGGGTGTTTATTCGGTAGGTAGTGAAACCAAGACAAGCTACTTAGCACATGATATGCGTGCAATGAGAATTATTATTAATAGCAGGGCAAATGTATTGAATGCGGTCGAATCGACGTCGCGCGGCCGATTGAAGGTTAAACAAAGCAAATTAAAAATATAGGAAAAATAATATAATATATGTATCTAACCATACAAAACCTTGACGATGCTTTCTTTTGTGTGATTCAATAAACAGTAATTAGCTTACTTTGTTTGTGTTACTTGCCAGCCGAGTTCTTATTCAAAAAGAAGTATCAATGCTTCAATATACGATGTGTATCTGAAGAAGAAATTATTATTCTAATTATTCTTTTTATAGTAAAAGTATTTATCCAAATTAATTCTTTCAGATATCTGTGTTCTCGGTGTATAAGGATTTTACTGTTGATTCCCGTTCACCATCGGCGATTTTCTATTGACACTGATTGAAGTCAAACTTTAAAGGTTAAAATATAATAACGGACGAAATATCCAAAACATTGATAGAATTTGCTCTTTACTTGAAAATTGTAATATCTTACATTCTTAAAACGTAAAGTATATACTAGTTTGTTATTTTTTTTGCACGAAAATGTACGAAAATGTTCGAATATTTTAAAGCATTTATTTTACGCAATTACTTACACTGGAATACAAAGAAGAAACAAAAAGCACACAAAATCACTCAAAGTGCCTAAATGATATACGTACTTAAGTATTTAAGTCACCGTAACATAGAAAAAATGATTGGTCCTGGCATTGCTAGCTTAATTTAATATCACTAATTGAATTTATACAAATATCCAAATACTAAATTCCTGAATTTAGTTTAATTTATTTTAATTAGTTGATTATTTTTAGTATAATCCTAAATTTAGTTTAGAGTTTTATTACTATAAATACCGTGACAGTACTTACAATTTACTCGCCGTTATGGTTTATAATAAAACAATTAAAATAGATGTCCTACAACAAATAATGAATATTCTGCTTAAAGAGCAGCATAGAAGAGGGAGTATAATAAAGTTGCCTTCATATTCTGCCTTAATTGTGAGTGAAATATATTTAGTAGAAATAATTTATATAATTATGTATTTGAGAGTACAGATGCGAATTGTAACTACTACAATAGTGAAAGTATTAAAATATAAAATAAAATAAATTCTTAGAAACAGAGTCTTAGCATTAGATTTTTTTGGTAAAAATTTAGCAGTAAAGGGGTTATTAAACATTGGAAACTGTTATTGCAAATTTATTCACAATTAAAACATAATTTAAAAAATGTTAACTTCGGTTGCACCGAAGCTATAATACCCTTCACAAATACAAAATATTTCCATACAAGGACTGGATTTTAAACGATTACTTTGTATGGCAGCTATAAAGACTGAATTTTGATCGTTCAGTTTGTATGACAACTATATGCGATAGTGATCCGATACCGGCGGTTCCGCTAACTGTGCAGCTGCTTGGAGAGAAAAGAACTTGAGGGAAATTTCAGATCGATATATCAAAAACTGAGGGACTAGTTCGCGTATATATGTGGTAAACACACAGATCATCTGTATATATTTTATACTCTCTCCGACGTTTCTTTCTGGGTATTACAAATTAGTAGCAAACTTAACATTACTTGTTCAGGGTATAAAAATAGCCTATGCTTTTACCCAAAAAACATGAATTTAATTTTTCCAATTGAAAATTTTAATATTTTGCATGTGAGATTTGTTGTTTAAAGTCAGAAATATTTATTGAAAGCAGATACATAGTATATATATAGACCATTATCAACTGTGACCATAAACTAATAAGTGACTTTTAATGAGTTTAGTGGCTAGTGCATAAAATTTTTCTTGAAATGTCGTTTCTTTGTGAAATTGAATAGTGAAACCCATTGTGACAGTACATTTACTATTATTATTATAAAAGTACTGAGTAATATATATCATTTGGTAGATTAGCAGTGGTAATAAATACTAACCTTTTAATTCACACATATACAAAAGAGGCATTCTAGTCTATAAACATGAATTTCAAGTAATTTTTGAAGTGTCGCAAAAAACACCATTTATATTTTTACTATTAATTTTTCTATTTGGTATTATTAAAATTACAAAAATACATTAAAAATCAAAATCAAAAATAAAAAGTTAAAAATTTCAAAAATTAACAGCTGATAAAGTAGGAGTTTTCCACAATATCCACGATTTTAATCCGAATCTGGACGATTTCAGCAATCTGAAACCAAAGAAAAAAAGTTATCAATCCCAATGTCTAGAACTATGGAAAAGTATGAAAACAAATTTTTCACGAAATGGTGACTGCCTGAAACAATTTTTGTACCACTTTCTTGACTGATTCGAATTTTTTAAAAATAGTAAAAATTTTAATTTTGGGACATTCTTAGTTCCAAACATAGACAAGTCTATAAAGAAGACTGTCTAAAAATCAAACTATCTCAGGTAAATTGCAGGTATCGTGTTGAAAAAGTCCGTTTTGAGAAAAACGCGCTAAAAGCTTCAGTTTCGGCCGAACCAGTTTGGATGCCGGGCCATCAAAATACCAATATCTCCGAAAATAATTTGAATTTTGAAAGATCCTTTTGCAGACATATTCTTGAATAGTTAAACTATTTACTATTAAAATATATTAATATAAATTTATTAAAATATATTAATATAAAAAAAATATTTATTTTTTTTGACGTGATTACCTCCAAATGACGAAGTTCAATATTTACTCAGTAACCATGAACAACGCACATACCATCCATATGTATGTAAATATTTTGCTATATATGAACAGCGTTTAAAATATTTTGAATGCACTGATCTATTACATTTATCAAGAAATATTTCTTATTTGGAATTGGTATTTTCTATATCTCAGATTTATTCTATTGAAATTTTTCTCTGATTTTTATTATAAAAAAATTATAAAACTAATATATATGGGTTGTTGTTGTTGTAGCGGCAGAATTCTGCCGAGTTGACAGTCCTTGGGCGGATAAAAATCCGGGTCCGTCCCGGTTACGTAGAGCCGACTGTCATGGGAACGGTATATATTTGGGTAATCGATGTTGCTAGATAAAAGCCAAATAGGCGAACTAAAGTACTTCTGAGCGCCTAAAAGCATATATTAAGACGTAAATGCAAAAAAGAGAAAAAACCATAACAACGGTTTTGCTATTTCAAAAACTTGCTATCGACATAACATACCTTCTGAGGGTCGATTGTCTTCAAAGACGAAGAGGCCACAAACTCTCAACAAATTATTGCAGCGGTTCGAAATTTATACGAAAATGTTCACCTTACACTATTCACCTTAATAATGTTATCGAGTAAAACATACCTCCATAAATGGTATCTCCTTAAATTTTTGGTTCATACAATATACTGATTAAATTGATTACGCAACACCCATTATTAACTGATTTGAATGTTTTCAAAACTCCCAAATATTATGATTTTCGTCTGTTCGGTTGACTAATATAATACATATAATAATAATCGTATTCAATGGACGACTCCGCCCTTGTTTGATTTATTTTATGTGGACAATACAGTTTGGTTCTGTTTTTAGCAAAAATCGGTAATTAACCGCATATTACAAAACAAAAGCTGCAACTAAGTACCAGGTTTTATTCTAAAGCTGAATGAGTTCTGAATGCTACACTTGTTTTTTAACTGCACCCCAAATACAAAAGTAACGATTGTATTTATTCGCCAGCATTTTGTATTACTGCCCTACGGGAATTTTACAATTCTGTTTGGCGCCAGATTAGTCCTTCTGAACATTTAAAAAAATCTGTAATGTAATCTAGCTTAACTGACCCTTTTTTCACTCTTAATTGGGTAAAAATTTGTAACAAAAGGGATAGGCTATGCACTTAGTCTGACAACTGCAAACAATTGCATCAGTTTGATAGAAAAATATTGGAAAATAAAAAGCGACTTTTACTGAAATAAAAATTGTAGAAAAATATTCGATTCCGTTAGAAGTAACCTTTTTCTTGCTAGCCTTCTAAATAATAAGGCTAAGAGTCTTGGACAGGCAACAAAGAAAAGTTCTGAATCTTGTGCGATTTGTTAAAAGTTGCTGTCTGAAAATAAGATTTTAATGTTAATTCATTATGATTTCGGAGCTCAATTGTCTCTCTCTCTCTCTCTGATCAATCAAGAGCAACTTCAAAGTAGCTGAAAAACAAACCAGTGGACTGTATAAATTTGGACATGCACACATGTACACAACTAGCAACACATACCATCATTAGGTATACGGCTCAAAAGCACTCTCAACGATGCCAATAATTAAAATATAAAAACTATGGATTGAGCGCAACATTTATTATACAACGGTTCCGGGCCATGGCTATAACCTAGAATTGTTGCATAGCTGCAACTAAGTCACCGCTCACTCAGCTGGTTGGTCCATTCTCTGGTTTGAGACACGCTACATCGTTGTTACCTCAGCGCGGTCATTTTCAGTTGTAGACAAGTGCTCAAGCAGCTCGAACGTGTAAATTTATTTGAGGAAAAGTAAAGTTTTGCTAAAAGGTTTGCGGAATCATTTAACACCGTAATAAAGGTAAGTTGAGTTGTTAATCTTTGTTTCTCAAGAAATGTAATTTTCAGGTGTATGTAGTCTGCTTTATTTATCATAACAGGCGTACCACAAATAACTTTTAATCTTTTCGCGATGAATTAATGTTAAAGGGCAATGTTGATCGTCGCTTAATGGCTTGGTTACGTGAAGAAAACCGGTTTAGGTGTTTTTGTTTGATAATTAGATAGAGATACGTAGATGGTTTTGTTATGTATACAATGTTGCCGTTATCAAACCCCGAATCCACGGGTATGTGGGCATGTGCAACGGCTTATTTTGTTTATGTTTGTGGTCTTTTCATTCTCTGGCCCTGGCCAAGTTTGTTAGTTATACATACAAGTATGATGAAACATATGAGTCAAGATGTATTGCTAAAAAGTCTCTCAGGCCAGGGAGGCTACACGTAAACATGCCTCTTAATTAAAAGCGAAAATGTGTCAATGAAACTATAACGAAATGCAAGTTTATAATGTTACGGCTAATAAGCGCTGAAGCTCAACTTGTCTAACACTGCCTTCCGATCTTTTTTTCCGCTAATGCTCACATAAAATTTGCGCAATCGGTGAGTTTATTGAATTGTCAGCCCTGATCTGAATGGAAAAATCCATCTGAACTAAAACATGAATTTCCAATGCAACCAATAACAAGCAAAGGAAGGGCTACGTTCGCAAGTAATCAGAGCATATATCAGCTTGTAAATATAAATTTATTAAGAGCTTTGCGTTGTACTTGACCGAAGATTCCTTCTTTTTTCCTTTTTTCATATCAGAAATAATCGTTAGACGGAGGCTGTTAGCCAGATAACTTTAGTTATCTGAAGTATGCTTCAGAGAGGTGGTATTAATTAAATCGCGGGTCTATCTTACTGTTATATATTAATTATGACTGCAGTATAGACATTGCTATTTTAGTTTGACAAAACCAGATTGTTTGTTTAAATTGAATAGGCTTTGAAACTACTTGACGGATTTGAAAAATTATTTCACCATTGGGAAGCTACATTCTCTCCGGTGAACAAAAGCTATATTATATTTTCAAAAAAGTTAGGTATCCTCACTAAAACTTGTAACTCAAGTTGTAAAAAAATTACCTAACAAATCCCTTACATAGCGTGCGCTGCGAATACTATTAATTATATACACAAAAAATGTCGCGACACCATATGTCTAACTGTTATAGTAACGTCACAATAAGTGTTATTTGATTAAAAAAAGTATTTAAAGTAAAAAATGACGTCTCTGCAAAAACTCTTTATTTGTACCTTAGTATTAATCCTTATGAAAATGAATTACTTTATATTCAAGACTGATTCAGTGCCTTTAAAGAACGTTTCGAATTATTCAATTCGGACATTCCATTCGAAAGATGTCACGAATTTTAAAATGTAAGTTTTAGAAAAAAGTCGCGTGATGAGCAACTTGGTTGGGCTGGAAAATAATATGCGATTTAGGTGTCATTGGTCCACGAGATGGGAGTCTAATGTCATGAAATAAAGTGCAGCGAGGCCTACTCGCCCAGTTGGCTCCCTACAAAGCGGTCGTGTGCGGAATTGAATCTGAATAATATTAAAGGATCGATGTTCACACATAAGAATAAATAAATTAATCATAATTAAAGCATCCTTTCTAACGCTATTTTGAATACCATTGCTATTAATACGATATTTAAGAATCAGCGAAGAAATAAAAATAAAATTTGGACTCCTGATTTGACTTAAATAGTATCCATAGTACATGGTACATATTGTTTAATAAGCTACTATAGTTGGATATTTTGACGAATATATCTGAAGGAAAGTAAGGTAATACTAATAAAAATAAAAGAACTAAGCACCTTTTAAATGTATAAAGGAATTTTAATCCGTTCTATATTTCTTAGTCTAAATAGGCAATTGACACACTTTATATGTTCCAGTATTGCAGAAGCCAACAATATGACGCCAACGGGTCAGAACGTAGTGGAGGAAGTTGTTTTAGTCACTGGAGGCAGCGGTTTTATAGGGCAGCATTTGTTGAAATATCTATTGCGCGAGCAAAAAAATTTGGGTATCAAAGAAGTTCGATCTGTGGATACATTGCCCTTTGATAATAAAATTGGTAAGACATTGTCTAAATCAACAGGCTATCTGGTAATTACTTTTAATTTTGCAGGCATTTCTCACATACAGGGGTTGAAGACCTTTGTCGGAGACATTTGCGAACCAAAGTCCAGCACTGTACAAGATGCCTTCAGGGATGTAAATTGCGTTTTCCATTGTGCCGCATTAGTCAGTATTGAGTATCCTCCAAATTTCAAGGAGTTAGATCGTGTAAACGTGAATGGAACCAGCGCAATTGTTGACTTATGTATGCAGCACAATGTAAAAAGGTTAATATACACCAGCTGTGCGTCAGTGTGTTTGGTTCCATTTAAAGGCTACAGCACTTTCACTATAGTCATAAATCAAACCGAGTCAAAGGCCAATACTCCCACCTTTAATGCGCAGGACCCAGATGATTTCGATAAATCCTTCTTGATACCTGGGTACTCTTCGTCGAAATTGCGTGCTGAATGTATTGTGTTAAACTCAAATGGAACACTGCTTAGTAATCAGAGAGGTAAGTGCTAATGTCATACTTAAGCTTTCTTAAATATATTTGTAGCTCTCATAAATATCGACCTAATTTTGTAGATTATTTGGAAACTGTGGCTATTCGTCCGCCGCTTACTTATGGGGAAGGCGATGAGAAATTTGTACCCCGTATTTTCGAGTACCTCTCAAGCCGTGGGTTCAGTTATCCCCGCATTGCCGGAGCTGGTGGTAAACAACAGCTCGTCTATGCTGGTAAACTAAATACTGTTATTTACAACAAAAATTTGTGTTTGCTAAGCTGCTTTTCATAAATTTCCAACATAGGTAACGTGGCATGGGGTCATTTGTGTGCTTACAAAACACTTAAGTCGACTCCAAAAGCCATTGCCGGTCTGCCGGTATTCGTGACCGATGACACGCCCATCAATGATGTGACTAGATTCATACAAAAAATGGCACTGCTAGGTGGAAAATTCAAGATTAATTTGACCTTATGGTATCTGCCGCATTTTCTTTTCTTTCTCCTTTCCTTCCTCACCGAACTGTTTGTGCAGTTATTTTATCCAGTAACGAAATTCAAACTGCCGTATTCGCTTCGTGCGATTTCGTCCTTCACAGCTTCGGTATTGATGTTCAATCGTTTACGCGCTTCCATACATATGGATTATGTACCTTTAATTGAACCAGAAGATGCTGCCCAAGCAAGTGCGCGCTGGTATGAGCAGTGGTGGGAAAGGCAGCGCTCAAAAAGTTATGGTAAATCTAGCTAAGCCCGATTAGAGAGCTTTCAGTAGTATGCGTACAAAAATCGGATGTATGTATGTAAGTAATTCTGTACATATGTATAATATACATAGGTATACTGAAAAGTATTTGTAAAATAGCAAAAAATGTTTATATCTTGCCCTAGCTAAGCACGAATGACAAAATTTGTAGATATTTAAAATAAGTTTATTGGTATGGCTAATTAAAAATTGTTTTTCACTGTTAATAAGCTTGATATTTTATTCAAAATTTTCATAAGAATTTTATTTACTCAATACTTGTGGACATACACTATAGCTATAACAAAGACATTTGTGAACTACAAGTATTTTTAGCACTCCTCATACAGTGTGAAATGTGTGCAATCGGATCATTACCACGCTCAACGCCTCATATAACGGATATATGAAAATTTCTTAAGTGGAATGATTCAAAAAAGAAACATGTAAGAAGCATTACATTACAGATGGCACGGAGGGGCTTCATAGCAATCGGTGTAAAAATTCGAAAATATATGTGACACCGCCTACTTTTACGTGAAATCCTATATCTCAGAAATCTCAATCGGATTCGTTTCATAACATTGTCTTGACACATTTGTGTTACATCCCACTCTGTCTATATAACACTTTTAATATTATTACATTCAATTCCGCACACGACCGCTTTGTAGGGAGCCAACTAGGCGAGTGAGCCACGCTGCATTTTATTTCATGACATTTACTCCCATCTCGTGGACAAATGACACCTATATCGCATATTATGTTTCAGCCTAGCCGAGCGGGTCGCCACTAACCAACCGACTTTTTTCTAATACTTACAGTTTTAAATTCATAATATCTTTCGAATGAAACGTCCCAATTGAATAATTCAAAAAGTTATATAAAGGTACTGAATCAGTCTTGTTTTTCGTAGGGATTAATACTAAGATACAAATAAAAGATTTTTGCGGAGGCGGCATTTTTTTTACTTTAATTATGTTTTTTTTTAATCAAAGAACACTTATTGTGACGTGACTATAAGTTAGACATATGGTGTCGCGACATTTTTTGTCTATAATTATGTTTGTATGTTCTTCAAAGTCGTAGTACGTTATGTAAGGAATTTTTTAGGAATTTTTTTTTACAGCTTGGGTAACCTTATTGGCGTCTTAGTGAAGATACCTAACTTTTTTGGAAATATAATATAGGCTATATTATATCTATCTATCTTAGTATAGAAATTATAGTATGTGCATACATATTTTGGTTGGTTATTCTTTACTCTTAATGGATTGCTTCTTCTTATTTAGTTTGTAGTAGCTTTTGTTATTATTTCTTTCAAACGCGTTCGTTTCTTTCAAATTTCGTCGGAAATTATTATATAGGCTATATTGTGCACAGAGAAAAGGATGGACTGAAAGAATTAACTTTGATATTGCGAAGGTATACTTGAGCTCATATTTTCAATTTTATAAATATGTAACTCATATAATATGTAATATTTGGGAATTGGGGTAATTCGTAGACTAAATTCACAAATTTTCGGCGTTAAAATATATTATATCCAATATAATACGTTGAACTATAATACAGGCCTATTATTATCAGAAGGAGACTCTCTACGAATTGCAATAATATATCTCACAGATTGACCGTTATTTCCAGGCACTGGGGTCCCCATATTCAGTAACTTTGGGCTTGAACTGTTATGATCTGATTTTGACAATTATTAGTCTTGACCTCAAAGGTACTATTTGTGCAAAGTTTTGTTCCGATATATTTTTGGGTGCTTGATATGTATATTGGAAAGTGTAAGGATCATATGGAATTTTAAATTGTGCTATATAGGAAGTAGGTGTGGTTTGAGTCCGATTTCACATCTTCGCACGGTGACATTGGAATGATAAAATAATCCTATTTACCAAATTAGTTTGAATCGTTCAAGAGATATGTGATTTCCCCTAATTGTGGGTGCTGCCACGCTCATCGACCAATTTTTACATCGGACCATCTAAAATCCCCGTGTACCATCCCGAGTGTAAAATTTAATCCACCAAGTTTCTGCAAGATATCTTATTTTTTACTCAAGTTACAGCTCGCACGGAGGGACGGACGGACAGACAGACAGTCAACCGGATTTCAACTCGTCTCGTCATCCTGATCATTTATATATACATGTGCTTGTATAACCCTGTATCTAACTCGATTATCATTAGGTTATATAAAAAACCGTGACGAAGTCTGATATTCAGCGCCAAAAAGAGTTCAATTTCGATGGACCTGATGGTTATAAGATGTATTGGCAACATACACAAAACCATCGGCGCACCTGTCTCCGTTGAGTACACGGCGAATGTTTTATAATTGTGTGGGCTGCCTTTTTTTATGAAGAAAAAACTCTGATATGCTACATAATGCAAAATATGAATGTACCAATGTATTTAGACTTACTTCATAATGAATTGATAGGATTTGAAAGTCGATTTTTCGAGAACAATTGGACTTTCCAGCAAGACAATACTCCAATCCACAACGCAACTCTTACTAAATGGTTTTTTCATTTAATTTTTATTACAAAATCTTTATGTATTCGGCGTGCCCTGCTACGCCCCTATTTATACTCTAAACATGTTGATACATAGTATAATAATTTTGTTTATCTAACGGTTATTTGTATCACCTAAAACTAATCGAGATACATAAGAAGTTATATTGTTATATACCATACATACATTGTGACCAGAAAGTTTCTGGAAATTGTAAATAAAACGAAAAATTTGTAAACATGATCAATATTTATTTTTTTGCCTTAAAATATGCATCTTTTTCCAATCATCGAAACATGCCTTGTAGGCTCTGGCCTGGATCGCCTTCAGTTCCTTCTGCGAATCACGGCCTCAATTGTTCCATGGAGTGGTAAATTTAGTTTTGGAAACAAAAAAAATGTCATGGGGCCAAATCCGGTGAATACGGTGGTTAATCGATGTTTAGCTTACGTGCTATCTCTCTAACACTCGCATTACGATTTTCAAGCACGATTTCCTTCACTTTTTTGATGTTATCGTCAGTGGTAGACGTCGGAGGACGACCGGTACGGGTCATGTCTTCGACGGTTTCTCGACCATTCGTAAAGGCTCTGTATCAGTCGTAGACTTGGATTTTCGATAGAATAGATTCACCATACGCCTTTTCTACCATTCACACCGATTCTGCACACGAAATTTGGTTCAAAACATAAAATTTAATGCAAACTCTTTGTTCAATATTTTTTTCCATTGTAAAAATCGCAAAACACTACGGAGGGCGACTAGTTTCAACAACTGCTGCAAACAAGTTGGTTGACAGATCGCGCTCATTTTTGGCATAGTACTTAAGGACAGTCCTACCAACTTAAAAAAAAGGTTCGGAAAAATATTCAGCGAGGGCAGTGTAAATGACAATTTCCGGAAACTTTTTGGTCACAATGCATAAAAGATCAAGATGACCGGGCGAGTTCAAATCCGGGTGACAGGCTGTCCGTTTTATTGAAATCCTCGTTAAATCTAGTTTTTATAAGCTACTTGAACAATTTCAACGAAATTAGGTTTATGCCATTATTCTGACATTCCCATATTATGGTGTGCGTATTCAGTCTACAACCACGGCTACTTCTCATATAAAACAATTTTATACTTTTGATTCTGTCACTTCACAGTATAGAAATTGAGAGCCAATAAATATATCGGGTTAAAACTGTGCAAAAATGGTGCCGTTTAGATGTCCCATCTCAAGTCTAATAATTGTCAAAATCTGAAAATCGATTGCAATGTGATATGTGAGCTGTAATATAAATCTGCATCCTGCTTTACCTATAACTTACCGACTGTACATCATTGTTATAGTGTATGGTATAACGGTGCAGGAGGAGAGCTGAATCATATGGCAGTGCTTTGTTCAACATTTATCGAATTTAATTGCAAAATCGATGGTGATTTTGCAAAAAAATGCCTCTGACAGGATCTTCTGTAGATATTATTCGTTTATTGTTTACTGTGCAAATTTGAGGTCTTTCCGCGATGGGGTTTGGGCGATCTGCGAGTACATGATGATGATTATCATAGGAAACTCTGAGTATAATAATCAGGTTAATATATAATATCTACATATAATACATATCTCAAAGTGCTCAGTTACTTTACTAATCTTTGTGGAAAAATCATAACTTACTGTAATGTGAAAAAAAGTTAAATTGTGTAATGACCACCCCCTCAGAACTTGACATGACATCGTCTACTTTTTAGTGAAAATATCTTTCAAACTACCAAGTCGTTTTGCACTACATCAATAGGCTAGGACTTATCAAATATAGTCGAAGAACACCCTGGATTCAACAAAGTGCTTGAGCTTCTTCCACCATAGCATCTCAATATCGTTTAGATAGGAGCATTCTGAATCTACTTTTCATAACTTCTTGAGGGGGGAACTCATAACCATAATTTTAACTCAAACATTTTTGATTTGTCCACTATCTTCAGTGTACTAAGGTAATTTAGTAGTTCACCGTGCCTTCACAGTATTTCAAGAAGTCATGAAATTGGAATGAGGTTCTGTGCACAATGTAAAAATTAACTCGAGCCTATATAGTTATTTCTGATTGAAACACAATCGATCTCTTGTAGAAGTCAGATTACGAAATGGGTTTATCCGATATGTTGTGCCGCGCGACTTAAGTACAGTAATACTTACGTAATTACTTCAGTTGAAGAAAAAAGAAAGAGGAAAACACAATGTTTTGTCAAATTTATTTCCTTTGAACAATGTTCATAGTTTTATTGTGGTATTTTTATTGATTCTTGTATTAATTCAATCATTTCATTTATATATATATATATACTTCATAGAATTGTTAATTGCTTAAATCTAAAGTTCTCTTTTAACTTTAATTTCGATTTTTGTGTATTTTTGCTTTAAAATCACCATCATCCAATATATAGTAATAATAATATTGTTTTCCTTAATATATTACTCTTACATACATTTAACTGTTTCATTCTCAATTAACTTTCTGCTAAATATTTACTGTTAATGCTTATGCACTTTGCCCGTTTGCACTTTTCAATTTTCCTTAACTCAATTATATTATGCAGTTAGCCCTTCTTAATGATCAACATTTTTCGCCATTCTTTCAAATTTCAGCATTAACAGTTTTGTTTTCGAATTCAAATGTCCCTCTTCATTCATATGAGTTGTTTTAGTAACAATTATTACAGCTTTTTTCCTTCGAACTTACGTTCAAATTGTCTTTATACTAAACATATCAACATCTCAAATATTATATACTTATTTTTTTTTGGTTTCTTCATTGATTCTTGTGGTGTCATGGTTGCTTTCTTGCAAAAATAATACAAAACCCGAATGAAATCAAAAAAATTATAGAAGTAATTTTCATGCCTTCGGACGCCTCAATTTTAATACTAACTTTATATATATCATAATTCTGTTTACCAGTTAGTCCGTTATTTTCATTACTATTTTGATTTCCTTCAATTTCGTCCAGTTAAAAATTCTTGTGTTTGTAGTAGTGTTTGATTTTTAAGAAAATTCTTTTTTGTAATTTTAGTTAAACACATACATTTTCATGTACTCTACTCGAATTTCCACATACATACATATGTACGTTTAAGTGTGGTAAATTTATACTAAGTATTGGTTGCTTATTATTTTACAAATTCGCTTGTTTATATTTCTTTGCTGTTGAACCTTTTTCGGTATATTTAATTACAAATTGTTTTCACTTTTGAATTTTGGATTCTGGTATTCTCCTCAATGATATTAATGGCTAATATGGTTAAAAATGGTTGAAAATCATAGACAAATATTCTTGTATCTCTTTAATTTACAAAGATTCTCAGTATCTTTCTGTATTGGCATATATATTTAAGTGTAGTAATAATATCTATTTAAGAAAATTAACAGCAAATGTCTTCCTTGTATAATTGTTGTATAGTTAGTACTGAGTTAACAATGCGAATGTCAATATTACATGCATAGATGCATATTTATTTACACAAGTCAAATTAGCAATAAAGTGTGTAATGAAGAAATTACTTACTTTCCTTTCCTGTGTGCCATTAATTTCTCGCTCATTCTCATGCAAGTTGCCCAAAGGCTTCTCTTTATAAAGATGCGTTTGGACATTGCAGTTACAGGTGTGTCTGCGTATGTACTTGCAGGCGCAATATCAGAAATGTTCAAACTAATTTAGTTTGCTATAAAAAGTTGAGTGGAAGGTACTCACTTCTAGGAAAAGAACAATGTCGTCGGGTACTCTGTTTGCGCCGCCAATATTCAATCTTGATTAGAGGCTTGGTTTTCTAAAGTGCTAAATATACTTTATGCTATCAGTAAAAAGCTCGATAGATGTGCACCGAGCTGTTGTATGCAGTTACCATCACATAACACTAAAAAGACTGGATATTGGCGCCCTTTTTCGAAATAGCGTGGGCTTTTCTATCGTTCCATGGGCTATATGACTGTGTTTTATGATGGAAATCATTGCTAGATTTTATTTGGTTACATAATACAATTATTGGTTTCGCGAACACAAGTACATACTGCGCACCGTCCAGTAGACAGTTACCAATTCTAAATTCTTATTGACCTTTTACAGTTAGTATTTGAAATTCATGACTTCTTAATCAATCGATAAAAAATGAGTAGTGATAAAAGTAATGGATATTGTGTCTTCTAATGATCAGCAGCTTTTCGTGCTGTTTATGTCAACAAACAAGAGTGTCGCTTAACTCTTATAATTTCCCCACTTTTGCAGTGGAAAAAGAACAAACATATTTATTTCGTACACATTTGACACTCCCATTCAACAATTTATTCAATTTATTCATGTGTTTCGTAGTAATTAGCAAGTATTTTTATCTACCACCGTTTTGGCTCTTGTAAATAAATACATTGCTTTTCATTTATATATATGTATGGTATATATATTTTGTTACTTAACTATTTGCTTTTCGCATTGAAGTGTTTCTCTTTACATTGATTATATATATGTGTTTTTGTATATATATATATAGTATAGTGTAAAATATTTATATATATATATATATATAAGATATTGTCAATATAGTGAAGGTGTTTGTTAGGAATTCCATCGCAGAAGAACGCGCAAAGAATTCGATATAGCAAAATCGTGTGTGTACGTTTAAAAGTGCATTTGTGTTAGTGTTTGTGTGTGTTGACTCAATGAAATAAGTAGCTTGTATTTGTTGTATGCAGTAATTGCTTTACTACTATAAATACATATACAAATTGTCGTTGCTCGTAGGTAAATGAAGTGAAATTTATGTTTGTGTGTATATGTGTGAGATAAGGACAACAGTGAGGGTGTGTGATGACTTCAGATCGTCCACAGGCTCCATGTATATGCTTCAGTAAGGCAAATGCGAAAGAAAATTGTAGTTCTAAAGCTGTGGAACTTATGCACTCGTATGTCAGTATGTATGTATATACATTCAAAATTTCACTTATACAAAAGTCTTAAGCTGCGACAGTCGCGTGTAAACAGAAAGCTACAAACAACAAATATCGAATTAACATTTGGCTCTTTGAGAGACATAGCAAGTGACTCGCAACGCTTTGATTAATTGGTGTCTAATTGCGAATTTGCTATCAGGTGTGATTCTTAAGCAAAACATTGCGTATGCATACTTCATAAGTGTACCTACATATTTATCTAATGTCGTAAAATACCGTAAATGAAATGGTTTAAGGTCTCTCTTCGGTCTGTCGGCTTTAGAAAAAGGAGAAATGATATGTGTGTATGTATACTTGTTAGTTTTATTTTATGTATATATATCTTCGTAATAATCAACTTTGTTCTCATTTACGTTCTTACGTTCTTGAGTAAAAAAGTGTACCATTTAATTGCTAGTTTTTATCATTTCATAATTTTATCATTTCTTTATGTTATTATTAAGTATTTAGTATGTTAAATTGTCATTTTATGCAAGCGGCATTCGGTTGTGCCCTCAAGTGTTCTTTTAGCTCGTCTTTAATGTTCTACTTGCTGTTTTGGCCTAAATTGACAAAAGTCCGGCTATGCCACGGGGTTCCACCAACTTGTGGTGTTACATATATAAGTTGCCCCCTAGAGCATGCCACATTTGTGTTTCTTGGATTAATATAAAACTTCAAGTATTTAAAGCTTTGCGATTTAACGCTTACAAAAACGCTGAGGCGTTGCGCCTTGCGTATTTATATTTAGTTCATCTCAAATTTGTTCTAATGGTAAAAGTTTAATAGCAAAAAAGAAAGAATTGAATAAATTCTTAAAAACTTAACAGAAACTATTTTACATACATATATGTATGTATTCATGTATACGTAACTTTTTCTGCTTATTTGCTTTTTCCTAGCTTAATGATTAAATGTATTCGGTTTTTAATTGACTAAAATTGATTTTGTTCTAAAGGACGCGTTTTTCATGTATCGATTCATTTGACTATTCGTGAATTCTTATTTTATTATTCATGTCAATTCTTGATTTTTTTCCACAAAGTTGTAAGCTAATACGATATTTTTTTAAATTAAAGTAATGACATACATGCCACTGGTATTCTCTATTATAGTTGAAAGGAAACTCAGGTCAGCAGCAATTTAGCAAATTGAAAGAAATGTAAAGGTTGCAGTGCGGCCTAACTTTGGACTAAACGCTTGGAATAGGTACAAAATGAATTAAAATTATGGCAGAAATTGTAAAAAATTGCAAAGAAAATTATATTAATGCCATTTATATACTCTGTTAATTTCATATTCATTATCATGTGCATCTCTATAGCAATAAAATATATGGAGCCTATCCTAAAAAAATCCGAAAAAATATATAAAAATATTTCGAATAACCACCGATTTCACCAATTTAGTAAAGATAAAGTTTTCAAATATTTTCAATAATTTTTAATACGTTACAACTTTTTAAGAAAACAGAGATTTTATCTTATTTACAAATGATATTTTCGGCCAGCATTAAAATGCCACATACCTTGGCACATATTTTTTAAAAATCAACACTAGTTTGCGAATATTGCGAAATTTTTGTCTCCTAACACTTAAAAAATGAATTTTTTCAAAATTGTTTGTTTTTATATTTCGAAATGTAGTTAAGTTTTGCTGGATCCAATTTTTTTTTAAACAATATTTACGTATCTTTTACTGTAGTTTAAAAAGAAGTAGTTGATAAAATGCTTGGAAATGACTTTTGCAAGTATGAAATAATTACTTCAACAGGGTGCGCTCGGGCGCTTAAACGAAAAGTTCGAAATGTATTCCAAAAGAAGTTAACTATTTAGTACTCGTACATGTGTATTCTCTAAACAGTCATTCCTTTTTGACAGATTGTAGGTTTTCTGTTAGGGTACCGTTCTTATATTTAGTTTATTACTTTTGTATTTTTAGGTTAATACTTTTATGTATAATAATATTTTAGCTTAGTACTATTAGATAAATATTTGTTTTACATGTATATTTTGTATATATTATTAGACTATATATTCACTTATTCATTGATTACTTTTCACTTATCAATACATAGCTTTTCCACAATATTTATTTTATTTTGTTTTGTTTTATTTTTTCTTTGTTGTTGTTTGTAATTATTGCTTTTAGAACATTTCTTAAAAATATATATTTATGTATATCTATATTTGCATTGTTTTACAGTATATATGTATGTATATTTATGAGTATGCATGTATGTTATTATTATTATTATTTTTTTTTATCTTATGTATGTACATACACATTTGGTGCATTTTCAACTTTATTTGTATTGAGTCCCTCACGGGCTCAACTACGCGCCAGTAAAATGTATAATTTACACACCTGTCTTTGGCTTCCTACGCTTATTCTTTATTGTGTAAAAGTTCATAATAATTTTTAATATTCCTTACAGAGTTCAGCCAGCCATAATAGCTTCTTAGCAAATAAATACGGGGTACGTATGCATGTTTGTATGGATGTATGCTATATTAATCTTTGATATATGCATCTGTGTTTGTGTATATGTATGTATGTAAGTATGTTGGATGCCGCAGCATCGAAGTTAATAAATAAATACTTATATGTTTAAAAAGTTGCACTATCTTTAAATATTCATTAATATCTTGGTAAGAAGTTTTTTTTTGTTTATTATTTTAATTATCTTTGCGTTTGTTTGTTTTCTTTAATTTAAAGTAACATCATTGGACAATTGTCATTCAATTAATCATCACACCGTCGTCGGACTGACCTTTCAAGCCACCTACAATTGCGTGGGCGCTAGCGGATCAATCATTAAGCCACTTTGGCTATTTAGCTAAAAAATGCTTGTATGCCTCAGATGTTGCTGCCGCTTCCTTGGCAACCTTTAGCTTTTCCCTACACTTCTTCTAACTATTATGCATCATCCATTTCTAACTACGAGTAAGTGCTCTTGAGAGTCAATTTACAAATTATCTGGTACATACAATAGAGTGCAGCCGTCTGCTTTGATTTCTCAGGTAGCAGCCGCTATTCGCTGCTTTCGCCGCTCTGGGCACAAGGGCTCTGCAACTCTTTCTTCACCATGGGCTTCAACCGCGCTCTCTCGGCACGCTTTTTGCAATTTAGCTTTTAAATAAATCAAATTATTTGTATTTTCATATGTGTTTTTGGTTTTGTTTTTGTATTTTTTCGGTTTTTGCTGTTTTGCAGTTGCGCTACCTCAATTTCATCCTATCTAAAAGCTACAAATTTCCTTAATTTTCATTTGTCTTTATAAACTGCAATGATATTTCCTTCCGCCGGCTTTTCACTGTTTAGTGGTTAGCATCTCGCGATTGCAATCTTCCATTTCGTCGCTTAGTCACTAAGTTTAGCTAAGCACCAGGTTGTGGTCCGCGCTAACCATGTTAAGTGCCACTCCATTTCTTCAATGCATCTCATACATATGTTCGTACGTATGTATGTATTCAAGTTTATATATAATGTATATATACTATATATTCACTTACTTATTTTTATATATGTATAAGTTGTATACTATATATGTAAGTAAGAATATTTATTTGCGTTTGTGCAAACTTTTTATTGTTTTATAAATGATTTCTTCTCCGTCCTCTTCGAACGCAAATTATTTCCTAGTTATAACAATTTCTTTCTTTCTTCCTCTTTCTCTTTCGCTTCCACTGCCAGTTTGCAGTACTAACGCAACACATTTGGTCAATCCCCGATCTTCTTCTTCCGTCCGAATAACTTCGTGTTCAGTGTTTGGAGTCGTCGTCATTGTGTCGAATTTGATTTTACGGCTTTCAGTTTATACTTTTATTGCAACTTTTGTGTGTGTGTGTTCGAGTATTGATCTGCACTTCTTATTTTACGATTCCTTCCTTTCCATGTGTATGTATGTACATATGTATGTATGTTGTCAGTCGTCTTTGTAATTTGTGCACCGACCTGCTCGACACAGACACTCGAACATATTGATGTTGCCCTTATTGTTTATTTGTTTATTTTCTATACTTGTACATATAAAGTGTAATGTAATTTAAATATCCTTCTGTATTGTATATTTGTTTTAGTTAATGCTCATTTTTCGTTTTGTTTTATTTGCTTTTTGTTTTTTGTATTTTTGTTTTTGTTTTTTATTTTTTAAATAATCCTCACATATGTATGTATGTATGTATATATAAGTTCATTAATTAATGTGTTTAGTTAATATATTTATTTTTATTGTAAGTATGTATGTATGAAGTGCCGCACTATTAAAATTGGTGTTTTAAATTATTACCACTAGGTTTGTTCTTTTTCATATTTACGCATATAAATATTTTGTTGTAGGTAGTATAAAGCAAGTGTTGCATCACACTCAGTTTTTGCAAACACTAGGATTTAATTGCATTTTTTGCATTTTGTTGTTGTAAGTGTCGCCTATGACTCTCACGCAGGGCAATGGCGTTATGTTGGCTGCGCTTTATTTCAATAAAGTTTCAATTATGGTAGTTATTGTTGCTTTAAAGTATTTTGTTAATTGGTCCATTATATGCCTGTTGTATGTATGTATGTATGTACATATGTATTTATGTGTAGGTTTGTAAAATGGCCGCTCTTGTAATAGAAGGAGCGAGCATTGCTTTGGCAACTTTCATAGGACTCACTGATTCAGTATTTCAGTATTTCAGAATTGAAGGATGTGTGAGCATCTTAGCAGTTTATGGGGCTTTGTGACCGAAAGTTTTTTTAGTTTTGGCGCGGCGGTGTTTAAAATTACAAATTTATACCTCAAAAGACCTGGTATAATAAAAGCAAACCAATCATGCTTTAAAAATATAGTTAATGAAAGCTCGAAAGCTTTTATAATGAGCTTAGCTCTGAATGTGAGGATATCACAAAATAGAAAAAAAATAGAAAATTTGATGAAAATGTACTTTGATTCGGTACGGAAAACCTCGCAAAAGCGGCATGAATTGCTGCAACATCAACGTCAAAGTAATTATTTTATGTATTTCATGAATATTCAATACTTAAGTCAATGACCAGAGTGCAATCCAATATAAAAATTATTGCAGTTTGTATATTTTGTGTGTGGGTTGCAAATAATGTATTAAAAAAATAATTTAATAAACATTTGAATTAATTTTTTATTTTATTTTGTAATGCCAAATACGAGATTAACAAAAAAAAAAATATTATCCAAATTGCGTTAGCAAAAAATCCTTAACTAAGCTTTTAGTCATGCAACGTGTCCAATTTATGATCTGCTTCTATATTTTGCTCTTTGGGTGTCTGCTCAATAGTTTTAAGCTTTCTGTTACCGCAAATATACTTGAAATTGCCGGACAAGCTCAGTTTAGCTATAAAATATTTTCTTAAAAAATATATATGTATGTTACAAAAAACAAATTATGGAAATAATTAATTTGAAGCTAATGATTGGCTTGGAAAGTATGATAATCATACTTTGAGAAGTTTTTGTTGTTGCGATTTATGGAAATTCTATCGTAAACAGAACGCAAGTTAATTAAAGCGCCTCACACATAATTCTTATTTAACCCCATGTATTTGTAAACAATTAAAATATAATTTATTAATCAATATATCAACAGTAGACGCACTAAATTTGACTAAAATTAATCACTAGTTTCATCACTATCGAAGGCTCTTTGATGGAAATGGGTAAGTTTTTGATTTCGCTTCTTTATCGGTCGCCATTTGGACGAAAGCATAGAACTGTTGTTGTAAAGCTAATGCGAATATTTGGCCGTTGTGTGTGTACGCATATGTGTTTGTGTTCTTCGTTTCTCTTCTTTACTCGGCAATACACAATGTACTCGTAATTGGCATTGGTATTGTTGTTGCTGTACTATTTCAAGCTGCTGTAGTTAGTTTTAGTTATTTTGCACTAAAGCAAGCGTGTCTTTTTTTACAATTATCAAAACATAAACTTTTGATTGCAATTCATTTTTGCAGCGAACTTAAAGAGATTTGGAGGTGTTGATTGCTTTTCATGCATACACACGCAATAATTGTGCTTATATGAATATGTGACTGCTTATCTGCATATCCATAAATATAAATATATTCCTTACATACACATTATGTACACGTATGGTATGTGTATGTATATAAATAAATATAAATTTATTTCTGTAAGCTTGTTTGCTTTCCACTTATTCATTTATAAACTTCATTTATATTAATATTAGTATGTATATTTGTATATATGTATATGTAGCATGTATGTTTGTTTTTGGTGTATTGGTTATATAATTTTTGTTTTGTGTTGACTTTTGGTAACTTTTCCATTTTTTCCCGTGTGTTTTAATTCAAGCTGTATCCAATAACGGTGTTAGTTGTTTTACTGTTAGCTGCGGTTTTCATATATTGTTGTTGCTGATGTATTAAATGTTGCAATCTAACGCCAATGCTTAATGGTAACCATTTGTAAAGGCCGCAGGAATCAGTGGTCCCTGTGAATATACATACGAAAAGGAAGTACGCCACGAATGCGGGAAGAGGCAGATAGCAGAATAATAACGAAGTTGATAGACAGGACAGAAGAAAATAGAAAGAGAAAAATGAAAAAGTTTTGTTTAATTTAATTATAATTTATATTTAATTAATTTACATAAAAAGAAAAAAAGACATTATTTCATTTATTACATTTTAAGAAAAAATCAAAGAAAACATGTTAGAACATTTTTATTTTGCTTTCCAAAAATATTTAAACTAAATAAACTTTAGGTTAAAATTCCGAAGCAGTTATTTTATTATACGAGTATGTATGTTCGTCAAGTTTACTCACACTGTGCAATCTGACGAACTGTCGCGCGCGAGATTCTGAAAGAGAGATAGCTCTCGGGTTGACAATGTTACACACCAAAAGGGGCAAGAAAATTATTTTACCTAACAATGTCTGATATGACCGTTGGTCAAATTGTTAAATTTGAGAACGAAAAGAAAAGAAGGAAAGAAAATACCCCGACCCCGAAAACAGTCTGAAAGCTAACGTCGAAAGAATACTTAGTTCATGGTGGATGATTGACCTTAAAATACAACACTGAATCCAATTTGTTCACAAGTTAAACAAATTTAAAGGTAACGTTTTTTTAAGATTATCTTATTATGCACATATACATTAATAATAATAACGTAGTATTGTTGATGTTGTAAACATTCGTGGAGGAAAATGAGAAATATACTAGTAAAAATTCATACGTGCCACCTTAGAGCTGTGGGACGATAAATATTTGGAATGTGTCGCCCGAATACATACTAACCAGTTCTGGAAGTATCTAATGCTGATCATATTAGTAGTGGGATGTCGGTGTCATGGGTTTCTTGAGGTCTGTTATAGATTAAAATCAAACCAAATTTCAAGAATCTGTAACTAAAAGCTTCCAGCAATAAACAAGAGAGACGTTGATAATTATCCGAGGTTTTGTTGGCCAACAGAGTTTTTGATGATAGTGAATTTATAAGAACAAATTGTTTTCCGAAAGTTTTAAAAGCAGATGTTAATCAGGTCCACCAGATATAAACTAAACATACTAAAGCTCTTTTAATACGTTAATGTAATTAAAAATAAAAACATTTTCTGCGCTAAATCTTGAATTCAGCTTTAGTCTCCGCCTACCTTGTGCAACTGCTTATATTTCTTTCTATGTTTTGTTGGTTAATCAGTCTTATTCATTTTATATGTTAGCCATCGCAAAGTTCAACGAATATATCTGTGCAAAGCAAAAGAAGAAAAAGAAAGAGGTAGAGAAAAAGAGAAAGCAATAGATCCTTCATTTATTAATTGTGAAATATTTTGTATGACTGACCAACAAAATTGTATATGAAAAATATATAACTATATTGAAAAGAACTCAATAATATACCATTTAAAGTTTATAGTCTGCTTAAACCATTTTGTAGAACATTCAATTAAACATGGGATATTACTTACGTAAAACAGTGAACTGAATATTTAGTGAGTTGTGTGGTACTTGAATATATTAAAAAAAATATTTCCAAGAATAAAGACTGAACTGTCGAAATTTTACTTGAGCTATTTATATGGTTTTAAAATTATTAAATATGCTTTGATACTATGTGAAACGTAAAAAAATTCTCGAATCGACAAATATGGTCTGAAAAGTGGTTGCACAAGTTCGTAGTTATTTCCATAATTTCATAAAATAATAAGCATATTTATTAGAAAAGGATACTACTGTTTTGCGTCACCAGTTTTTATTAGAGAAATTAGAGCAAATAAATCTAGTTGTTTCAGATATTCCGTATTAAACAATATTCCAATTTGACTTACCGGACTATAGTTTAATGGTGCCCGACTCACAGCTATAGGAAATCCAGAAGGTTGTGGGCTTGTTGCCTGTACATAGCCGACGTTGTCAGCACCAGTTGAGCTGTACATGTCAATGGTGGGCCCAGGAGAGTTAGTCGAAGGGAAACCTTGCCGCGTAGTCGCAGTATGGGGAGAAGCGGAAGGTCCAAAGCTATGGGCTGCTGCAGCGGCAGCTTGATAATTGTTCATCACTGAAAAAAATGTATATTAGTAATGAGTAGTAAGTACTGGATCCTTTAAAATTTTGTCGCCCTTAATAGTGCGAACTTCTGAAATTTTTTTATCAGAAAAATTTTTTTTTCTTTAAAATTTTTATTTATATACGATACATTTATATATTAAAATGTTAATTTAACAGTTACTTAATATTCTATTTGAGTTCAAATAATAACAATATTTTTTTCGACTATTATTAATCTATGTCAGAACAATACGACAAACTTCTTAAATCAAGTCTGCTCCTTCAGTTAGTTGTCAACTACCTTGATGAAGTATTATGAAATTGAACAAGGTATATTAAGTTTGCCACGAAGTTTGTAACACCCAGAAGGAAACGGCGGATACGCTTTAAAATATATGTATATATAAATTATCAGCATAACAGGCTGAGACGATTTAAGCATGTTCATCTGTCTGTATATACGCTACTAGTCCCTCAGTTTTTAAGCTATCGATATGAAATTTTGCACCTGTCCTTTTCTCACTAAGGGGACTGCTGTGCATTTGGCGAATCGTCGATGTCGAACCACTATAGCATATAGATGCCATACAAACTGACCGATCAGAATCAAGTTTTCGTATGGAAACCTGTTTCATTTGAGAAGATATCTTTAAGAAATTTGGCACATATTTTCGTCTAAGGCAATGGTGCAATCTCCGAAGAAATAGCTCAGATCGAATCACTATAGCATAGATTTGCTATACAAACTGAATGATCAAAATCAAGTTTTTGTAAGGAATCTTTTGTTGTTGTTGTAACGGCTATCTAGTCTTCGCTTGGATGGTAAGTGATAGTTTGGTTGTCGTCGAGGTCAGCTAACGGGAGGCCCAAGAAACGGGCTGTTTACACGGGGTCGGACATATGTAGAAATAAATTCCCACAACAGCCGGTTATACGTTACCGGAATTGACCCGGATTTCATCCGGCCAAGGGCTGTTATTTCGGCGATCTAACCCTGTTTGGATCGGTGAGTGTTAGTCTAAGGAATCTTTTGTATTTGTGAATGGTATTGTAGCTTCGGTGCAATCGAAGTCAATTATATATATGTTCTCTAAGTAAAGTAATACTCTGTCTATCTATAGTTTCGATGGATGATTATTTATATTTAATTTTTAACTGAGTCCCAGTTATCTTCAATATAATTTCTTATAATTTCACAAGAATTCTAATAAAAGTTTCGAGGAACATTTTTCAAAATCTTTCTATGGTTTTTAAAATTGCAAGTTTTCTTACATCCTCTTACATCCACTGCTTATATTGGTTTTACCATTGACGTTCAGAAAATAGAATTTCATAGCGTTTCTATGAGAGGGCGTTACTAGAATTGAATCTACATGTTTTGTAGCTAAACCTACAAGTAATCTTCCAAAAACATGTCTGATCACGCTGTCAGATATGAAAATTATTTTGGATGACCGTAAATTAAAGTTTATCGAAATAGTTAGGACTCTAAAGATATTCGGAAAGTTTTGGACAAGACGTTTATGAATATTTTAACATGCGTAAGTGCTGTACAAAAAGCTGTTCAATCTCAATTAAGTCGAATTCGTTATGTGAGAATGGATGAAACAAGGTTCCACCATCGATACGAAATATTAACAAAATGTGAAACGACACAACATGTACATATATTTTAGGTTCCTTATAAACTGAACTAAAACTTTCATCTATGGGAATAATCTTGAGACAATACATCGAATCAAAAATCTATGGAAACGATTGCAAATACTAGCAGATCACTTTATTAGCTATCCCACTTGGAGGAAGAAGACCACATATAGAAAATGAGATGTGAACATCGAACTCCGCTTCGAAAGGGGGACCACCTGTGCATATGAGCCGCACTGCACTTTATTTCAAGATATGGACTTCCCGCCGGTGGCTCAATTACGCTTATATCGCAGATAATGTTCCAGCCAAGCCAAGCGGGTCGCCACTCATCACACGACTTTTTTCTAATACTTACATTTTTAAATTCGTGACATCTTTCGAATGGAATGTCCGAATTGAATAATTCGAAACATTCTATAAAGGTACTGAATTAGTCTTGAATATGAAGTAATTCATTTTCATAAGGATTAATACTAAGGTACAAATAAAGGGTTTTTGCAGAGGCGTCATTTTACTTTGTACTTTGTTTTAAACAAAAGAACACGTGACGTGACGTCACTATAACAGTTAGACATATGGTGTCGCGACATTTTTTGTAAATTTGTTGTTTCATAATTAATAGTATTCGCAGCGCACGGTAGTAAGGATCCCTTTTTTTGTTAAATAAAGTATAGCCCATGTTCATCGGAGAGAGTAGCTTCCTAACGGCGAACAAATTTTTCAAATCCGTCAATTAGTTTTGGAGCCTATTCAATTCAAACACAAAAAACAATAAAATCTTTGCTCTTTATAATATTATTATAGATTAATTATACAGCCCAACAAAACAAAACTGTTTTGCACACGAGATAGTGTCACTTGCATCGCTCGTTATGTACAACAGTATATGTTTGCCAATTGTAGAGGAAGAATGTTTTTCATAATTTTGTTTTTGGAACAACCAGTACAAAATGTCTACGGGAAGTTGTAAACGAGAGGCTGACTCGTTTTGCTATATTTGCAGCGAATTCAATAAAGTGAGAGAGAAAAAGTATGATTTAAGTAAAAATTTAAAGATTTGGTTTGCATATCAAGCTTTCTTCAATCTATCTGTTAAATATCAGCACAAAAAATGGAATCCACATGTTTCATGTTACTCTTGCAAATATGTTAAGGATGGTGAGTATATTTTCTCTTTTTTATAATAATTATTAACTATTTTGATAACACTAATTAGGTTATAATATGAGGTATAGTAAAAAGAAATCCATTATTTTTCCAATAGATGGCGTAATTTATCTGTATCTCGCGTTGTACAAGTCCGATAGGTATTACGCTAGAAAGATGACATTTCATATTAAAATAGCTTTTCTGACAGTTTTGTGATTGGTTGATTCAGTTTTGTTCGAGCGTGAGCGTGTCAAAGATGGACACTAGCAAAGAGAAAATACGCTAAATTTTACAGTTTTTCTTCGATAAGGTCGAAAACGCAAGGCAGGCGGCTGAAAATGTCAATAGCGTTTATGGTCCTGATACTGTAAAATCTAATCACGCGCAATTTTGGTTTCGTCGATTCCGTTTAAGTAATTTCGGTGTCAAAGATGCACCACGGACTGGAAGGTCAATTGTCGAAAATGTTGATAAAATCATGGACATTGTAAGCACTGTTTCGATTACCCAAGAGCTAAATATTGCTCAAAAAGCGCTTGGAACCATTTGAATAAGGCTGGATATGAAAAACAGTCATGAACCGAATTTCCATCTCTGAATCGCTGCTGAATTGACCTATTTTTGAAGCGGTTGGTGACTGGCGATAAAAAGTGGAAGGTTTTGCTGTGTGTTTGGTGGGATTGGCAGGGTATTATCTACTAGGAGCTGCTCCCATACGGCAAAACTCTTAACTCGGAACTGTACTGTCATCAATTGGACCGTCTGAAGGAAGCAATCGCCCAGAAGCGGCCAGCTTTGGCCAAAAGAGAGGAATTGTGTTCCATCTGGACAACGCCAGACCACACACATCGATAGTGACTCGCCAGGAGCTCCGGAAGCTTGATTGGGAGGTTCTTATGCATCCACTCTATAGTCCGGACCTGGCACCAAGTGATTACCATCTGTTCCTGTTCATGGCGAACAATTTTGCTGGTGCAGAATTCGCTTCAATAGAGGCTTGGCGACTGTCTCAATTTTTTGCCAATGGCAACAAGTTATCGAACAAAACGGCTCATATTTGATCTAAGTCGGATCATTCTAACTATGGCAATTAAAGCCTTTGGTAATTAAACTATGGTAATTAAAGCCTTCAATTCATGCAAAAATAATGGATTTCACTCAATACGTTACGATTTACCTTAGGCTGGTACTGTCGAGAATTTGGAGAGAATTTTGAATATTAAAGGATTTTTATCTAAAGCTTGTGGGTTAATAAAAATTGAAATATTTGTAGGCCCTCAAATAAAAATATTATTGGTTGTGATATTTTCCCGAAGTTACATAGCAATGAGGAGAAAAAAGCCTTGAATATGTTTAAGGCAGTAGTGCATGGTTTTCTTAGAAACCATAGGGCTGACAATTATGACGAGCTGATCACTATCACTGACTTGAATACGAATTTTTCAATCATCTCATATAGTATGTCTTTAAAGATGCACTTGCTACATTCTCATTTAGATAAATTTAAAAATAATTTGGAAGCTTATTCGGAAAAACAAAGAGAATATCATTATATCCATCAAGATGGATGCCATAACATGGCAGGAAAAGTAAAACTATTCATTTTTAAACATTTGGAGTCTATTTCAAAATGTTTATTGCAGCAATGATTGATGAATAGATGGTCGGTATCATTTAATAAATCATTTATAACTTTGATAAGATCTGTATCTCTCATTAATTGCTGTATCAAATATTCCCCCTTTCAACTTTTCTACAAGCACATTAAGTTGTTTTATCATTACTAAATTGAACATGAATTAAATCACTGAGTTCATTTTGAGAAAACAATTTTGGTGTACATACATGTTTCACCATGATATTCACATTCATTGTTAGACTGTACTGGGTATTTGGCGACGTCATTGTTTCTGAGTAGCCCATGCGAATTACTTTTGAAACGGAAGCGAGATTTTCACTGAGTAAAACAGGACTCTTGGTAGACTGGAGTTCTAGATATCTCCACGATGATTTATGCTAAAATCTAAAAACCTTCCACATAATTTTTCCAATACTTTCGATAAGAAGCCTGACAGTGGAGATCAAGTGATGGGTGTATGCGTGAAAAAGGTGCACAGAACCCCAATCATGACTGGAAAACTAAATTTTTATTACTAACATGCCGATAATTTTCAAAATATTAGTAATTGTCAAATATTAGATCAAAATATAATATAATATTATAAAACAAGAGCACATTTAATATTTTCAGAAATAAATTCGTAATTTGGACACACACAAAATTTATTAAGATATCCAGGGCAACAAAAAAAAAATATTAGTATTTGTAATTGCTTAAACTTACCTGAAAGAGCCTGAGTGAGAAGAGGCGTGTTGTTGTTCGGAGTAAGTTGTCCATTAGTTAGATCCACTAATTATTTCATATATTGGGGGCGGGGCGAACATGCGATGAACAGAAGAAAAGAGAAAGAAAGTTGAAAGTAAGATGCGTTAGTTACGTTGGTCAAATAACTTCGCTACCACTGAGCTATGAATTGCAAAACTAGTTCGACGGTATATTTTTAATATTTCTTGAGTATTTAAAAAAGTTACAAACGTACTTAATACGGGTATTGAATTGAATTTACGAATATATGAGTAAGTATTTGTTTTAAGAACGAAACAGAATGAACTAATCATTAGTAAAAAGTGTAAAAATGTAGGCAAACACGTAACGAGTAAAGTGGTTAGTGGTTATGATGTTTAAGAGTACTGGAACAGGATCAACTACTTATGCATGTATTTGTATACGTAACTCAAATAGAAAAAATGCAAAAGATAGATTTTGTCGGTTGTAAATGTTAACGAAAATACCCAAGACTTTATGAATATAAATTTTACCCCTAACACAAATACATATACATATAAAAATATACTACGAAAAAGTTAAACTAATTGATTATATAGTGGTTAATACCTAATTATGAAACCATTATTAGAACTTATATAAGCATTGCATACGTTATTATGATGAAAAACCAGTTTTCTATTAGACGCATCTAAGAACCCTAGAAGATTTTACAGGTCCACATAATATATTCAAGTCATGTAAGGTACTCAATAACCCTTGTTGAAAATAGCTCGTCAATAATTTGGAAAAAAATTGTATAAGAGATGTTTTTTAAATGTCATAATATGCTCATTGGATTTATAAAAAGTGAATTTATTTAAAAATAATCTTTCACCATTAGCTTTCGTCTTGTTAATGGATTTCCATATTAAACTTTGATGGTATAAAGTGGCTTTGCAAAACTAAACATAGGAATAAAGGAAGCATATCGATGGTTAGCCGATGCTTTAGATTTGAGAACTATCCGCAAATATTTTATCAACTGACATCTAAAAGAAATATAATTTTTGACTCAAATAATCATTATGAGATGCCCGACGGTGTGTCCGCCCATTCCATTAAAAAATAATTTCGCCCATATTTGGCCCAGATTAGAGAACTATATTTTTTCTGTAGAATTTAGCGCTACCATTAGCGAATATGTATATATCTAAATATACCAATGATTGAAATAGTATAAAACTTTCACTTGAACCAGAGGTTTTATAATTTTTCACAAATAAAGCTCTACATTACAGAAAATATGAGCTTACTGATTCCCAGACTCATTATATAATAACGCATATGGAGTATTCCTGCAGAGGTGTGGAAATACATAATATCTTATTTTAGAAACGAAATTAATGTTTGGCTAAGAGTTAAATTGATTGATTGTTATTGAGAATGATGGTAATCATGCCTCATCAGAGAGAATATAAGAACTAATAAATTTTCAGTATTTTTGAAACAAAGTTTTTTGTATTACAACTTTTCAATATAATTCCTGTTATTGTTGCTACTTAATTTACTATCAAAACTATAAAAGAATAAGTAACAACTTTGGAGCTGCTATAAAGCTTGATCCTTAACGCAAAAGTTTGCAATAAACTTTATTCAAAACAAGTAAGGAAGGGCTAAGTTCGGATGTAACCGAACATTTTATACTCTCGCAAAGTCAAATGGTATACTCGTTTGAGATTTCTTTGTGTATTGACTGATATTTTCGGTAGAAGGTCAACTATAGGCACTGGGGTCCACATATTTAGTACTTAGGGGCTTGAACAGTTTTGGTTCGATTTAGACAATTTTTGGCCGCAAGGTGGCATACTTTAATTGCATTATTCACGCAAAGTTTTACGCCGATATAATTATTTTTGCTTGATTTGCATAGTGGAAAGTGAAAGAATCAAGTGGTATTTAAAATGGTGTCATATGGAAAATAGGCGTGGTTGTAATCCGATTTCGCCCATTTTCGCACTATAACATAGAAACATGAAAAGAACGTTACGCACCGAATTTGGTTGAAATTGGTTAAGCAGATCTCAAGATATGGGTTTTCACCTAAAAGTGGGCTGTGCCATGCCCACTGTCTAATTTTGAACGCGGTTCCTATAAAGTCATCTTATACCATCTCAGAGATAAAATTTAATGTCTCTGGCGTGTTTAGTGCTTGATTTATCACGCTTTTAGTAGTTTTTAACAGTACCGTTATATGGGGAGTGGGCGGAGTTGCCACCCGATTTCAACTGTTTTTACACCGTCAATAGAAGTGCTAAAAACATTTGCTTCTAGTGAATTTTGTTATTATAGCATTAGCGGTTTAGGAGATATGCACATTAAACCTATTAGAGGCGGGACCACGCCCACTTTTTAAAAAAAAGTTCTAACTGCAGATGCCCCTCCCTAATGTGATCCTGTGTACCAAATAACAGTCTTGTATCTTATTGCGGAGCTTAGTTATGGCAAGTTATTTGTTTGTGATTAATGGCGTTTTGTGGGCGTGGCAGTGGTCCGATTACGACAATCTGCAATACCAACCGTCTCACGGTAACAAGAAACATGTCTACCAAGTTTCATAAAGATATCTCAATTTTTACTCAAGTTAGAGCTTGCACGGACGGACAGACGGACGGACGGACGGACGGACAGACAGTCACCTGGATTTCGACTCGTCTCTTCATCCTGATCATTTATATATACATAACCCTATATCTAACTCGATTAGTTTTAGGTGATACAAACAACCGTTAGGTGAACAAAACTATTATACTCTGTAGCAACAGGTTGCGAGAGTATAAAAATATTAAAAGGAAAAACCTTGTCAAAGCGATATGGAACAATACAATTTCTCCAAAGTTCAAAAGTCCTGATAATTTAAATTCGAATGTATTTGAGCAGACTTTAAGTGTAAGTAGCTTTTCAATTTTTTAATTTCTCGAAATTTATTATTCTCTGGAACAACTTTTAAAATAATATTTTAAAAACGATTTATATATCAAAAGTACACTGAACCGGAAAAAAACCTTGATAAGGATATTTTCAAAATATTAATCATTATTTTGTCCCATCTGTGGGAAGTGAGAAAAAAGTGTTTGCATTAAGGAAGGAGTAGGGTTTTTAAATTTCAAGTCAATTGGCGCAAAATTATGGCTATTTTCATACCTGTCTTAAGAATGTTTAAAGCGTTTTTCTGATAACTCACGTTTTAAAGTCACTTCAAAACTATTCCACCGATCCTTCGAAAATTTTGAACAACATTTCTGTACATAATTTGTCAAATATCCAAAACAGTGTCTATAAAACAAAAAAACAAAAAAATGAAAAATGTAAATTTCAAAAAACCCTATCGGCGATACCTAGGGAAAACTATTGTATAACAAATGGATCTTCACTTTTTGATTTTGAGTGATCCAGCTACCAAGTTATGAGGGGCACCGCAATTTAACTTTTTTCCGCTTCAGAGTTGCCATTGACGCATTTTTTATTATTTCTCCATGAAAATTTAACAAAATATGAAAATATTGCATTCTATCGCTACATAATATTTCATTTTATGACAATTTTCATGTAAAAACCACAGTATTTAATCGATTTAAGATTTTTGCTGAAATAATTTAGTTTATTAGTTTGTAAATAATTAAATTTTATTGAACCGTAAAAATAATGCAAGTTATTTGGTTGTTTACATAGGGCAGAGGAAATGACCAAATGAAAAACAATTAGAATATTTCGCGTCTAACCAATAATTCTTATTGAATTGCAAAAATGTAGCTGTGGAACAGACATTTGTACGTTTGAATGCAATGAATACACAATTACTATTAGTTGTAATTTAACAAATATTTAAATACATATAGTATTCACGTACACATGTTGCGAACATATATGCATTAGGACTTGTTACAACTCTGCAGCGAAATCAACTAGTAATGAATTACTATAGAACCAGTGTCCAGTGCAGGTCCGATTAACTAACCGGCTGTCTTTTTCCATACAAGTAATCAGCCTTTTTTTGTTTCTTGCTTCTTGGTACCTATTAGATGTCAATTGTCTTAATATATGTATACATAATATATCAGTTCCATACTAATTCATTATAACATCTAATACACTAAGATAACGTTTTTAGTTACTTTTGTAAATTTTTTGCATTAAAAGAAACACTAAAAATAAATATAATTAAAACAACTGACCCAAAAACCCTTGATCTTAAATAAATTACTCACTTAATGTATAATTTACAACTAGTAGCAGTCAATACTTTTTCGGGCTAGTTTGGTATTCACTGGTTTGTAACTGGATATTTCAAACTAGTACGATACTTGACTATTGGATACATACACATATACAGAGCAACTTGGTTTCAACTGACTAAGCAAATAAGCTTTACATACATTTCTACATATATATAATATATATACATACATATACTTGGGGTTATATGTGGAACTAGTTAAATGTGGCTTTGGTTATGAAATGTGCGTATGTATGCAGGTATATGTCTATATACATATATAGCAATAAATTTGTATATGAGTACATTAGTTTGGTTTTATGCATATCATTAAATCTATTTACTACATAATTCCAATCTATGGTCTTTTCATTAGTTACATACTTTATATAATTTCAGCTGAGTACAGTTTACAGAGCAATCAACAATCAACAGACAATCTTATGTGTATGTGTATGCTTTCATACAAACTATGGCAATTGCATGTTGTATTTAAGTACAGTACAATGGATTTATGTATATATAAACATACCTCTAGCTACCATATGTTAAGTACATAATACAACATTATTTTCATTAAAATACATTTCATACTAATTAAAAAATTGCGCTAAGTTAATCGATATATTTTCGATATGAAAAATTAATTAATGGAGAGAACAAACGGTTTCTGGATACATTAACAACATTAATTGTCTATAATTGCAAATTTCAAAAGTACAAAATATTTATTTAACTGCTCTAGTCTAGTAATTGAGGACTAGCTGACCTTATTGATGTCTGCCGGGCGCTTATCTGCCATGTTACGTAACTTCTCTGTGGCGGTTCCATGCATCTCCTAGTTGGTCGCCTTAAAGCTGCATATTTAGTTCCATTCATGCAATTCGGTCCTAGTAGTTGTCGTAGGATGTGTGCAAACTCGTACACCGATACCTAGGGTCTTAATTTTAATATTTTGGACATAATCCATGTTTACACTGAACGTACATATGATGTCAAAACGACATACATATGTATATTAAGAGACATATTTACATATGTATGTATGTTTATCCCAATCTATATATACATACATATATGTATTAGAGCTCTTGGTATTCGACTAATCGACTAACCGGTTTAATCAGATAGGTCATTAATCGAATAATAATATTCGGTTAACCGTTCGTTGTGTACTATTCGAATAGTAAGCGTTCCTTAAAAAAAACAAAAAACAAAATCAAAGGCTGTTTGGATTTCAAGCAATTTTTATTTATTCAAATACTCGCAGAGCAACTATTCGGTTATTCGCAGTTGAACGACTATTCGGTTAATATTCGGTCGAACGGTTACAAACCGGATATTCGAATAAACAGTTTTCGGGTAATTCGAATAATTTAAAGAGCCCTAATGTGTAAATATAAAGTGGTCGCCCAGTATATCGAATTTTCGAAATAACGAATTTTTGGTTTAGCGAACCATCAAAATTATCTTACTGATGTTTTTAGATAACGAACGCTAAGAATTTTAATTATTCGGTATTGCCAACGCTGCTATACTTTTATCTTGAACCTCACAAGCTTAGAAAAAACAAAGATTTTAACTTAAGTTTAGTTATTGTATAACATCTGCAGAAAATATAATTTTTTTTTAAGTTTCCATTGACTTTGATTTAAACGTAATTCATTCAGTTTTTTTGTGTGATTGGTTATATTTTGTTTGGTTTAGAAAGTGCAATGTCAAAAAAAAGCGTTTATCATTGGAAAATAAACTAAAGATTTTAGACGATTCCACCGAAAAGGCCATATCAGCGAAAAATGGAGTTCCAAAGTCGTCGGCTTATACTATAAAAAAAAATCAGATTTAAAATCGAGGATTACGTTCTAAAAACGAATCGCACGAAATCAGCACGTAAGTCCCTTGAACAATGTGAATTTCCTAGAATGGAGTAGGCCCTCTATAAATGGTTTATGACTCAACGTCGAAACCTAATGCCTAATAGTAGTGCCATTTTATAGGCAATGGGAGAAATTGTTTTGCAAATGACTAAGTACTAAAAAAACTTCGGAAAACGTTTTCTTAAAGGATGTGGTTAAAAGTTGTCATCTAACGTAGATAGTGTGGAGCCATTTATAAGGAAGCTAAGTACTTTTATCGAAAATTTGCTTTCCGAAAAAGCATATACTCTTCCTGAAGAAGCAGCTACACTCGGAAGAAAGAACACCAAAGAAAAGTTAACATTTTTAGCATGCGCCAATGCTTCGGGAAATTAAGAGCAAGAAATTACTACTTCTCGACAATTGGAGGATTTTCCGAGACCATTCAAAAACAAATTGCTACCCGTTACCTATATCAACTCGACGTTTGGTTGGATGAATATTTTCATTTTGGAAATTTCATTGATTCATAGATTCATTACAGAAATTGCCTTTTTACAATAGTAAAGTTATTTCTACTGGAACAGATAATATCTCAGAATCTTTAAAACGTGCTAATATTTTCCATGCTGTAACTCTATCGGAGTTTCCTTACGAAAAGCTGTCAAAGAATTCTATCATAAGATGGCAGCAGAAGATGCTAAGCCTTTGATATTGGTTATTTTAAGTTATCAGTTTTGTAAATTAATTTCCTAGTGTTCAGTTGGAATCGCAGATATTTAGTAGTGGAATTGTGATGGTGGTCAGAATCTAATGCAAGTGACCATGCACAAGATTCCACTACTCAATCAGATGATACGGCAAATGAGGTTTAATGTGGTTTTATAATAGGTAAAAAATATCATTCGATTTAAAAGAATTTTTCAATTTTACGAAGTAGGTGTATATTGGACGACCATTGTATATTTTACATATTCCACCATTTGACAATGATATATAACCCGAAAATAGAAAAACTCGGTGTGTAAAAACTACTCCATTAATATTCCGCAAGTCGCGCGCACTGCGTCCTTCGTACAAACCTGCCTCAGCCTATACAATGTACTACGGCACAAATGATGCACCGCGTTCAGGAGGATCACAAACCGTTTTAACGCCAAAAGATGTTGCGAATATTCGTGCACTATTCTAGGGTGACCGTTAAATGAAACTGAGATAGATTGGTTTATATTAAGGCAGAAATCATAGGAATTCTTCTTCCCTTTTTGAAATCCCAAGCAAAATGAGTTAAACAATCGGCTTATTTTTGTATACGAGCATATGTTTCCAAGCATTTATTGATTATTTTTCGTTAGCGGATTTATGATTAGAGCAAGCAAATAATATTTTTTATTGCCTTAAATCTCGTTCATTTGCATTTTAAATACATCATATTAAAATCACAGAATAAATATATATGTATGTGAGTATGTAATTGTGTCTGCTTATAATGTGTATGTATAATTTTAAGCAGTTTTATGAGAGTTTCTTAAAGAATTCATACACTTGATTTATTTATGTACGTAAACATTTTTAAATTTCTTCCTACCCGACCACATTCGGTTTCAATTAGTTTTTGTACGGTTAAGAATGGGCATTTATTGTTGCATAAAGCAATTGAATGTACAATTAAGCGTTATAACTATGCAAAGCCGTTGTTCAACAAATTTCATTCAATTACTTTTTGGTTTTTATTTTCTTACGTTTTATCTAACTTATTTGTTGTTAGTTTTCTTTTTTGATTCCTTAATTTTCTCATGTGCATATGCTTTTAGCGGTCAATAAATGTATTTCATGTAAACAATTTATTTTTATTTCAACCACCTTAATTTATAAGAGTGTATCGATATCTAAGTAACATTTTATATCAATCGTTTATCATCCAAACCTTGACGAGCATATGTGTAGAGTTAGCTAATCTTAAACGCAACAGCAGAGCGCATTCCACTCAGCAGAGCTGACTTGATTGGATGCTTGGAAGTGTCTCTCAACGCCAAAGAGCGATGCTAGTGCGAGAAACGTATACAAGCTCAACAATAGCTTTCAACGGAAATAAAGTACTGAATGTATATGAGTGTGTTCTTGTTTTCTCAAGTTGATTGTATTTTTCGAAACACCCTCTGAAGTTTCAGTTTTTTTTTTTAAAAAAGAGGATTCGACGTTAAATAGCTATTTATTTTCAATTTAAACCGTGCAAAATTATTTGATCTTTTGCAATAAATTTTTACTTAATAGGAAATAAGTCTATAATTTTGAAAAAGTGATATTCTAATACAAGATTTTCCGCTCTTAAGTTAAATTTATATACTGTATTCTTATGGTACTCCATGTCGTATGATAACACCAAATGTATGTATAAATCAATTGTATGAATGCTCTGTACACTTGATGTGTAACTTTAACTGCCTATAACTATTAAAGGAATACTTTCATGGAAAAAATCAATACATTATTTCTTGTAGAAGGGAACATTTTTTATTAGAATATTTCTTTTTCTGGATTTACACGCGTAATGCAAAATATCAAAAAAGATATGATTTAGGCACGGCTTAAATAGAAAATAAACAGCTTGTTTACGTTGGATCCTTATTTTTAGGACAAATACTGAGACCTCAGGAAGCGTTTGCTAAAGCACAATCAACTTGGGAAATAACGGAAACCCTAAATTATATCAAAATTCTTGAATAGACTTTTAATTAATTAATTGGCTAATTCAAAATCAGCCTTGCCGAGTGCCTGTCAAATTATTGGTGCCAGTTAAAGCCGTCTTCTTGTCGATACGCCAGTGTCTTGTGTTCAATCTGCACTTAGATTCTTTATAGGTAAAATGTTTTTAATTCTTCATGTAAAGCTTCTTAAATATATGTACGTGTATATTATTTTTAGCATTTTGGTTTTATAATTTTTCTTTTTGCATAGCTTTTAAAATTTTCGTTTTGTGTTGCTCTTCAAGTTTCGCAGAAAAAATGGATGGATAATTTATTTGCTTTTTTTTTTTTGTTATTTTCTTAAAAAATTTCTTTAACTAACAAATTCGCAGTAAGAATACAATTCATCCATGTACAAATGTTGCCCCTTCGCCCTTAAACATATATATTCTTAACACTTGTAGTTTTTTACAGTTTTTTTGGGAGTTTTCATTCCATTGAATATTTGTTTTAACTACGCGCGTAATATTTTAGACTGAATATGTAAACCACATGCTCTTGCTTTTCAGTAAACATTATGAACTTTGTGAAGAACTGGGTAAAGCTTTCTAATCAAAGTGATATGCTTCGAAATACGAGTTGTATATATGTATGTCTTGAAAATAATAAAGGCATAATGACGGGATTGGAAATACCAAATGGAATAAATTATGGTGCAATAATAGGAATAGCTATTAGTTAATGGTTTATCATGTGAAGTAGAAATTATTCTTAAATAATTGTCGAAATTTTCTCAAGACTTTGGTGTTAAGTATGAGTCTACTGCTATATAAATAAATATATGTATATATATATAAAAGAAAAGTCGAAAGGCTATGTACTATCTATATATCTATATCATATGGATGTATGTAAGGGTCTGTTAATATAAGATATATGCATATGTACGCTTATATATGTAACTATTGTTTATTGATATATAAACGAGTTTCACCATATAATTAAATGCTATATAATCGTACACTACTAATTCAAATACAGATGGAGTTTATAATATATATATATAATTATATTAATATATATATATAAGTGATAATGTATTTAACATCGTTATTTTTGCAATGGTACGAGAATCTAGAATATGTGCTACTTCGCGCCTACATCGTATATATAAATATGTACATACGGATAAATATCGCACGAATGTTCCAAGCTATATTAATTTGTGTTTAAGATTTTTACTCTGGGTCTGCTTTGTAAACTGCTAAAGACTCTATATATTCGAGTGTGTACCATTTTTTCAAACTGAGGAATTTTGTTTGATAGCAGACCTTAATTTCAGCACATACTAATGACTACAGAGCTTTAGAGATGACAATACTTTGCAGAACAATTTATAGCCTGAGTGAAGAATGATAGTTTTATGTAAACGGATTTTTATAAGTTTATTCTATTTTTCATAGCTATAATGTTTTATTGCGCAAACATAAAATTTTGGTTAGATGTGTTTCATACTGGTAATAATAAATTTTCTTACTTGTTCACTTTCTAGTTTTTGGCTATGTATATATATTTATCATAAAGTCGTGTTTTTTTGTTAAATGCTAACTTTGAAAATCGTATACACACTACCTACTAAATAAAAAGATAATCAAACTTTGAATTCGTAATAAATTAAATGCTTAATTGTTATTGCATGAATATCGATAGTTTTCGAATTTTAGGAATGTAGTTTGGTAACATGCTATAATCCAAGAAATTGAGAGAAAACCATAAATCGAAAAGGAGTAAGAAATTAGAGGATCATTTAATAAAACTAAATGTCACTTCTCTGTAAAATTAGCAAAAAACTTCTCTAGGTAAATTAATTCTATTCAAAAACCTTTATATCAATATGAGCTGAGAGCAAAGTTTCAAATCATTATACGTTTACTTTTTATAAATGTTACATTAAATAAATTCTAATTATGTATATGATAAAGGAACTTACATGTATTCGAATATCAAAGTCAAAAAAATTTCATAAATTTTTTATGTTAAATATTGTGTATATTATAGGTTTATGTATGTATTTTGGTGTGACCATTGTTACTGTGAAATCAATAGATATATAGCTGTATTATTTAATGATTATATAAATGACTGATTACAACCGCAACTTTTAACTCTACTCTCTACTTGGGTAACTGCATTTTTAAACTTTAGTGCTAGCCTAATACGACTTTTCGAGTGAAATAACGAACCAACAATCAGAAAAGCCAACAAACAAGCGAACGAACGAATGAACAACGGCTACCAACGAGTATGTTCCTACGACTATTTTCAACTTGCTTTATAGGATTACATA